ACGCAAAGAGACTAATCCAGAATTCACTAGCAAGATATAGAAGGGTATTAAGAGATTAGGTGACTTTCAAATCAAACCTTTCAACCAGCTTTGATTCTCAAATACAGAACATCCCTCTACATCTTATGGATCTGCGAAGACCTCAATCTCTCAACTCCTTCAGTGATATCGATTTTTTGATGATTTTGTAGAGAGTTTCATGAGGGTGTTTTAGAGAGTGCAGGAGGGTTTCAAGGAGGGAGAGATAAGGTTTTCAGAGACGGGGGAAAATCTGAAAATTTGTCGAGCGCGAATTCACTTAAGTAGCCTTTTTTTAGTGTGTTTTAAAAGACGACGCTTGTTAATGAGAGATAAGGTTTTCAAAGATGGGTGAAAATTTGAAAATTTGTCGAGCGCAAATTCACTTAAGCGGCCATTTTTTAGCGTGTTTTAAAAGACGACGCTTTTTTAAATAAAAAATTGTCATCTTTACATATAATAGACGACGGTTTTTATAAAAAGCGTCATCTTTAAATATAATAGATGATGGTTTTTTTATAAACAGCGTCATCTTTACATATAATAGACGATGGTTTGTATAAAAAGCGTCATCTTTACATATAATAGACGACCAATTTGTAAAAAAAACCATCATCTTTACTTCATAATACATGACACTAGTGGATACCGCAAAATCTTATGTCATATTTAACTAAAGTATAAATAAACTCTTAATTATTAGTGAATATATTGTTTTGATGGCATACGCATTTTAAGAAACTAGTTTCAATGATCCAACCGTCAAACTTGTTTGTTTATACTTCGAGATCATATACGCCAAAAATCGGAAAAAATAAACATTCAGAGATCAAGTAATGGGACAAAAAATTTCGACGGTTATAAATGAAAAATCTTGATTTTACGGTTATTTTAACTCCGATTTTGATGATTTTTTACCGCTACACTCCTTGACCCTATATGAATGAATACAATGATTGAATTTGATCTTCAATTTAAAATATTTACACTAGTGGATACCATAAAATCTTATGTTATATTTAACGAAAGTATAAATAAACTCTTAATTGTTAGTGAATATATTGTTTTGATGGCATACGAATTCTAAAAAACTAGTTTCAATGATCTAACCGTCAAACTTGTTTGTTTATACTTCGCGATCATATACGCCAAAAATCGAAAAAAATAAACATTCAGAGATCAAGTAACGGGACAAAAAATTTCAACGGTTATAAATGAAAAACCATGATTTAACGGTTATTTTAACTCCGATTTTGATGATTTTTTACCGCTACACTCCTTGACCCTAGATGAATACAATGAATGAATTTGATCTTCAATTTAAAATTTTTACACTAGTGGATACCACAAAATCTTATGTTATATTTAACGAAAGTATAAATAAACTCTGAATTGTTAGTGAATATATTGTTTTGATGGCATACGCAATCTAAGAAACTAGTTTCAACGATCCAACCGTCAAACTTGTTTGTTTATACTTCGAGATCATATACACCAAAAATCAGAAAAAATAAACATTCAGAGAACAAATAACGGGACAAAAAATTTCAACAGTTATAAATGAAAAATCATGATTTAACGGTTATTTTAACTCCGATTTTGATGATTTTTTACCGCTACACTCCTTGACCCTATATGAATACAATGACTGAATTTGATCTTCAATTTAAAATATTTACACTAATGGATACCACAAAATCTTATGTTATATTTAATGAAAGTATAAATAAACTCTTAATTGTTAGTGAATATATTGTTTTAAAGGCATACGCATTTTAAGAAACTAGTTTCAATGATCCAACCGTCAAACTTGTTTGTTTATACTTCGAGAGCATATACACCAAAAATCGGAAAAAATAAACATTCAGAGATCAAGTAACAGGACAAAAAATTTTGACGGTTATAAATGAAAAATCGTGATTTAATGGTTATTTTAACAAATCATCATCTTTACATATAATAGACGACTCTTTTTTTTTATTTATAAAAAGTGTCATTTTTACATATAATAGACTACCCTTTTTTAGAAAAAACGTCATCTTTATATATAATAGACGACCATTTTAAAAAAAAAAACCGTCATCTTTACTTCATAGTAGACGACGGTTTTTATAAAAGCGTCATCTTTACATATAATAGACGACGGTTTGTATAAAAATCGTCATCTTTAAATATAATAGACGACTTTATAAAAAGCGTCATCTTTACATATAATAGACGACAGTTTTATAAAAAGCGTCATCTTTACATATAATACACGACGGTTTGTATAAAAAGCATCATCTTTACATATAATAGACGAAGGTTTTTATAAAAAGCGTCATCTTTACATATAATAGACGACGGTTTTATAAAAACTGTCATCTTTACATATAATAGACGACGGTTTTTGTAAAAATTGTCATCTTTACATATAATAGACGACGGTTTTGTAAAAATCGTCATCTTTACATATAATAGACGATGATTTTTATAAAAATCGTCATCTTTACATATAATAGACGACAGTTTTATAAAAATCGTCATCTTTACATATAATAGACGACGATTTTATAAAAAGCGTCATCTTTATATATAATTGACGACGATTTGTATAAAAATTATCATATTTACATATAATAGACGACGGTTTTATAAAAAACGTCATCTTTACATATAATAGACGACGGTTTTTATAAAAATCGTCATATTTACATATAATAGACGACAGTTTTTGTTTAATAAAAAGCGTCATCTTTATATATAATAGACGACGGTTTTATAAAAAGCGTCATCTTTACATATAATAGACGACGGTTTTATAAAAATCGTAATCTTTACATATAATAGACGACGGTTTTTATGTATAAAAAACGTCATCTTTACATATAATAGACGACGGTTTGTATAAAAATCGTCATCTTTACATATAATAGACGACCTATTTGTAAAAAAAGCCGTCATCTTTACTTCATATCAGACGACCTTTTTTAAACAAATCATCATCTTTACATAAAATAGACGACCCTTTTTAAAAAAAACCATTGTCTTTACTTCATAATAGACTACCCTTTTAAAAAAAAACCATCGTCTTTACTTCATAATAGACAACCCTTTTAAATAAATAAAAAACTGTCATCTTTACATATAATAGACGACAGTTCTTTCAAAACAACCATGTCTTTACCAAAAAAATGACACTTGATTTCTAAAGACGATGCTTGTCATACCTGCTGTCGTTGTTTTTTGGTCATATTTTAACTCTGAAGAAAACCTTTTTAATAAGATGACGCTTTTTTATTTGTGTGCGTCGTTATAAAAAAATATTCAACAGTACCTCCGTTTTTTAGTTGTTTAAGTCACTTATTCATGATGATTTTTTGTTACCGTCGTCTTTTTAAATACAACGACGGTTTTTTCTTCTACTGTCGTCTTGTTTTGGTCGTCTTTTTCATTTTTTTGTAGTAGTGTTTTCACTAAAGCTCTGCCTAAAGATCGGTTCAACTATCTTAGAGGATTGCTTGGTGTTAAACCCGTTAACAATTTAGAAGGGAGTGTTGAAGTATAAATTGTTTCCAGGTTTATATTGTTAGTTAGCCAGGTGTATGGCTCATAGGCTATCACGTTTTGTTGGACTTATAGGTCCAGATTCATGCCAAGTGTACAGCTCACAGGATGGTACAATTGTGTGTTGGCTGAATCATTTTGGTACTGATATAGAATTTAGTGATAGTGAAATGAGATCACACGAGGAGTGTGTGCGTGATTACAATCATTGCTAACAGACTCTCTCTCTCTCCTTTCTCTTTGAAACGTTTTCTCATACACTTTCTGTGCAAGTAAGTCTGATATTCTATAGAAACTCCAACAGCTTTAGCTTAATTAATGTTACCTGAACAAAGCAGATATGGAAATGTAGACGAAGCAAGCCAGCCAAAACTCACAAAAAATACTTCTCAAGATCAGCCAAGTAATCAACAAGAACAAGCAAAGCTAACAGCCTCAGAAAAGAGGAGATATAAGTAGTGGCCAGCACAGAGAGACAGAGAGAGAGAGAGAGAGGGAGAGAAGGTTGAAACCTTGTAGTTACAGTAAGCACACGGTTTCTCTGGTCTTCAATGGAGTCCAAGTCTTCTTGGGTCAATGAGTAATTTCTTTTGCTTTTCAATGAAGAGGAAGTTCTGCTCAGAGACAAATTATAGGGGTTCCCCACGTCAGGCCAATTATTTGAATGGTCGGTTTCTTGGTAAAATTGGGGTTAGATTTAATTGAAGGAAATATCAAGACAATTACTTGATCTTTTCATCACAATATATATGGAGTAAAAGAGAACAATGGATCAAATAATAATCCCGAAATTTGGTTAAGGCATCAAAGATTTTCCCTTTCTCTACAATGTTTACTTATGATCCGTCTAGAACTCATCAATAAAGAGATAAATAAATAAAAACTTTCGTTTACAATGAGAAAATAAACGAAAAATGTAATTAGAAAAAAATTAAAAGTTGTAAAGGCATTTGTGCAGATGACAGAGTCAAAGAGGCTTTGCTTTTAATTAAGGGTCTCGTCCTATGCAAGCAAATATTTTAGACTAAGACTTTAGGCATCCATTGCATCCCTTAATACGCAAATGTATCACAGATTCCATTTTTATTTTTATTTTAAATTTTATGAATGTTGTTCTTAATTATATTGTTTTGGCCTCCATCCATCCTTTTCAGAACTACGTTCACATTGCATGTGTCGTTTTTTTAACACCAACAGCATCACAAATTATGAGTTATGACATAACGGCCAATTAAAAGCTAATGAAGACATACAACACACTCATTCTCGAATTATAGAGGCTAGAATTGAATATAGCAAGGCCAACAAAACCTTACTGATTATTATTTATTAAAATAGCAAGACATGCATACATGAATCTTACCCTGAAACAAAACAAAATACAAAAAGCAAATTCTCGAGCAACCAACTTCTCCAAATGATGAACAACTGTTTTGTCAATTAATAGGTTTATCAGCTGCGGGTGGTGATGGTGGTCTCGACGGAGGGGATTGAATATGATCGGCTTCATCACAATAACCCTTGAGTACATCAGTCTCCTCAGTTGTAAATCCTAGTGTGCCAAGCAAGGCAGGCCAACACTGATGCTCAATGGTTCGAATGGCTTCGCAACAGCCATGCCCTAAGTAAGTCTCACCATTCAAGAAAAACATGACAACCTCACCAGAACATGCGTGAAGCTGAAACAAAGAGTCCCAGCAGTTGGAAGATTCTTCATCCAAATTCAACCTAGCTTCGAGGTTCAGGTTCTGGTTCGATCCAATGGGATCATAGTTCAAAGAGCGAGCACTAGTGGTCATGGATATGAAGAGTGGCATGGTCCACAAAGCTAGAAAAGTGAGAAGGAAGAGGTTGGAAGCTGCCATTTTGACTTTGATCCCTTAATTTGTGGATGATTGAGAGATCGATGTGATGTGTGAGGAAGGGAGGATCCAAGGGTTTATATATAGAGGCTAGAGCAAGAGGAATTTAGTGTTACAAAAAGAGATGGGTGGTGAAGAGGCTTCTCAATCAAAATTATTAATATCACTTGTGCGTGCGTTACTACTAGTGGGCAATTAAGACTTTAACAATTAATTAATCGATTGATCTTCCCACCATGATCAAAGAAATTATGACAAGTTTGTGATTGTTGGTCTGCCTTAGCTGGAGCCAGGAGTTGGTTTGCTTCGGCTTCTCTCTTTTTGGACATATTGTGATATCGTTAATGAACCTCTCAAAATTCGATTCAGTTGCATAATTTGAAACTGATTTCTGCTAAAAAAGAGAAGGTAACATAATTGAAATAGATTGCACAAACTATCAAAGAGATGAAGTGAAGCAGACAAGGGAGGAGTGTCCAAGTTTATGATATTTACTATTTGGGGAAAATTTTAGAAATGTCATTTGTACTTATATACTAATTTCAATTTGTCACTAAAGAAAATTTTAAGAGAGATGTTATTTTGATTTTTCAAATTCCTAAGTTAGAATATGTGGCATGTACAACACACATGACAAATTTGAAAATTTTCAGATGTGATTTCTCTTAAATGTTTGTTTTATGATGAGAAATTGTAGATGTGACAATGATAAATTTTTGCCCTTAAAAAAATAAAACCATTTTTAACCTAAGGTTATATTTGAGCATGTGACAGGAGAGAGTGAAGATCCAAGGAAAATAAGTTGGGCACAAGCACACTTATAAATACTAGAAAAGTTGATATAGATCCAAATTCCTATTAAGGAGTTGGGTTTAATCATTAGATTTGGTGACTTTGATCCAATTCCTTTGATTTTTGTGCCACATAGAATTACATTCCTTTTTTCATATATATATTTTTTTATGTAATCTTTTTATTATTAAAATCATTTTTTGTTTCAATGTTGCCCCTAATGACTTGAATCAGGTAATAATCATTTATGTCATATTACCTATTGCCTATTGCATAGGTTTGTATATGTTGTTTCACATTTTCGACAATGTATAATAGTATTTTATGTACGTTTTTTTTTTGTTTAAATAGGTAACATATAATTTTATTTTGTCTATTTTTGTATTTGACTTATAGGTAGTCTTCTAATTTATGTTCCTAACTTATAGGTAACATGATTTATCACTAAGTATTTTTCGTTGCTAATAATAACACTATTTACCTGTGTGTCAGGTACATAATTTAATATGAGTGCTTGTCTAATCGATTGGTATAATATGTGGGTCTTTACTTTTTATTGATTAAATTGTATTTTATCCATATATTAGGAATATTATCAAGGAAAAAATTTAAAATTTAAAATATGGAATTCAATTAAAAGGAAATAATGCATTAAATTTAGATTTTCAATGTGTTTTTCTTATTTACCTCAGAGGGTAAAATCGACACAACAAAAAAAGTAATAAATGTCAAAGAATTTGCATCTAAAACCAAAAATGCAAGACTAAACTCAATGACAACTAATCGTTTTGGACCTAGACCTAAAAAGCCCTATAAATACCCACCACCATGCACCGAACTGCCTCACACCATCACAAAACCTCTTCTTCTCGTAATAATCTTGCTTTCCATCGTCCCATTTTCCATATAATTCCCGAAATACCCCGCCATGTCTGAAGAGAGGCACCACCGTGGCCTCTTCCAGCACAAGAAGGATGAAGACAAACCCATTGAAACCTCAGACTTCCCTCAGTCTGGTTACCCTGATGAAGGACGTCCCGGCGGCGTTGGTGGGTATGGCGTCACTGCCACTCATGAATCTGAAATTGACTACAAGAAGGAGGAGAAGCACCACAAGCGTCTTGAGCAACTAGGCGAGGCCGGGGTTGCTGGTGGTGGTGTTTTTGCCCTGGTATGAAACCACCTTTTATATATCAATCTTCTAATTTTATTCATGATCTTAGCTATAGTTATTTATTATTTATAAATTTAGTACTTGTGCAGTGTGATCGTTCTTAAAAGTCAAGGATCACAACCAGAAATTCTTACATTTTCAAGGCATCTCTCAATAACTAATTATTATGCCTCGTAAGCAGATCATTGTATACAACGGTTGTATGTAAGGATTATGTTATGTGAGGCCACCAAATGTTTGTTAACTTCCAGGTCTTTTCTGAGACTAATGTAGTTAAGATCTGTCCCAGAAATAATTTCACAAAATTATGAAGATATTTTCATTTAACAATGGTCCAGCTGAGACATATAATACAATTAAAATACCAGACCCTAATTAATTAACTCTTATTGAATTTAATAATGATCATGATCTAATGTGCAGTATGAGAAGCACAAGGAAAAGAAAGACCCAGAGCATGCCCACAGGCACAAGATAGAGGAGGAGATTGCTGCAGCAGCTGCAGTTGGTTCTGGTGGATTTGCCTTCCATGAGCATCATGAGAAGAAAGAGACAAAGAAAGAAGAGGAAGAGTCTCATGGAAAGAAGCACCACCATCTCATCTAAATCTACAAATAAATACTATATTTTATAGTTATCCATTGTGTTTTTACTTATCTGCGATGAGTGATGTTTGATCTCAACAATGTTATAATTGTTGAGTGCTTATGTGCGTTTGTTATATGAGTGCGCCATCTGGTTTCCTTTTAGCACGCTATGTATCTATCTATTTCTCATTGTTAATAATAAATAATATCGTTTACTTGGTGTTAATTTCTATATTATTGTTCTTTTTTTCTTTTTTTGTGCTACGTGTTAACTTCTTAATTTTTATCATGGGGTCATGGTTCATTTTGTCAATCCCATCTTCAGTATAAATTGACTTAGCAAGTATCGATCTGGTCCTATCAGAGAACGGTGAGACCATCATATTCATAATAGTGCCATTTAATATAAATATAAACTAATTAATTAATTTTTATATAAGAGATATTGGGAGATGGGAAACGTAGGATCTTGGATGCATAAAAACTAATTAACTTTTTCCTAATATCTCTGGTATAAAAATAAATTAATATTGTTGTGTGTTAAATGCATCTTTTTGTTGGAATGAATTTCTGCTTCTATTTGTTGTTGTCAGAGCATCCATAATGGGCTCCCTAAACCACCTCCTTAGACAAATTTTAGGGAGGAATCGTAAAAATGCAACTTCAACCACGCTCCCTATCCACCTCCTAAAATAGGGAGTCATCTAGGAGCTCCTAAATCTGAGGAGAGAGAAATGACTCTTAGTGACTCCCTATAATTTAATGCTGCTTTATTTAATGAGTATTTCAAACCTTTATTTAATGCTAACTATTTTTTATTTTATTTTTTAATAGAGATGGACCAATAAAAAAAGAGTTAAGCATTTATGACTCTCCAAATTAGGGAGTATGGTTGGAGTTGAAATTTTTTAGAGAGCTCCTAAAATAGCTTTCGTATATTCTTAGCCAAATTTTAGCTAAGAAATAGAGAGCATCATCGTACAATCATGCTCTCTATTTTTTAGTTAAATTTTAGGTAAAAACATATAAAAGTTATTTTATGAGCTCTCTATAAAATTTAAACTTCAATCGTGCTCTCTAATTCATGGAGTTATATATGCTATAACTCTTTTTTATTAGTCAATCTCTATTAAAAATAAAATAAAAAATAGTTAGCATTAAATAAAGGTTTGAAATACTCATTAAATAAAGCAGCACTCCTAAATATGAGGAGAGAGAAATAACTCTTAGTGACTTCCTATAATTCAATGCTCATTTATTTAATGAGTATTTCAAACCTTTATTTAATGTTAACTATTTTTTATTTTATTTTTTAATAGAGATTGACCAATCAAAAAGGAGTTATAGCCTTTATGACTCCCTAAACTAGAGAGCATGATTGAAGTTTAAATTTTATAGAGAGCTCCTAAAATAACTTTTATATATTTTTAATTAAAATTTAACTAAAAAATAAAGAGAATGATTATGAATACTCTTAATTGAGAAAGCAGAGGAAAAAGGCTTTCCTTGAGTTCTGACTTTTGCTATTCATCTCTCTCTCTCTCTCTCTCTCTCTCTCTCTGTAGCCAGTGTCTCTTTGAGACTCTAGCCTGCCTCTGCAACTAGTTATATTAGGTGAATCATTTAAGAAAATGGCTGATATTTGTCTAGATATGGGATTTTTATATTAGCCTTGGAAATGTATAAACTAGCATGAATTGCTCTGTTGAGGCTAATTGACATATAGGTAATAAGTTGGTTTGCAAGTCAGTCACAATTACATAGCATAGCATTGATATGATTGTGCTTATAACTTTATAGATGTTTGGGTTGTAGCAAGATGGAAGTGGCGATTGTCAAAGTGACATCGAAGATGAAGAGATTGGGACGAAGGTTATGCACAACAAGAACATGGTCAACAAGAATAAGAAATGGAGGCATTGAGAAATAATATAACCCCAAATTTAATGAGTTTATTCGCGGAGAAATTGTATATGATTATGTGTTTATAATTAGTTTAATTTTTGTTATTGATCATATTATTGACATTAAATTAATTATGAATGGAATATGTTGGGTTTAACTTCCAAATATTAACTTTCAATATGGTACTTTATTTATTTCATGATTGAAATAATTTTGAAGCTGCGAGTTAAGAAACATAAACAAAAGAATTGTATAAAGATCAAAAGTGAAAGTTCTTTTTATTTTACCAAAAAGTTAAATAAATAAATAACCATTTCAATGTCATGTCTTTTTTAGTTATTATACACATCCCACAACACTTTTACATAAAAATTTACCAAACACTCAGAAACTGATTTCTATACTAACATCATTTTTACTATATATAGTTTACCAAACGCCAAATTGCTTTCCTTCAAAGCTGATTTTGCATGCAGCAAATTTGAAAGAGATTATATTCACAGCACAACAATGCTAAACTGACCCTAATGCTCTTAATCACTTAAGCTAAAAGCCCCTTACAAATACAAAATAATTAGTTTAAATTTGAGGCTTCATCTCAGTTAATTGAATATGATATTTTTTGTTTTGCTCTGGTATTAGAGTCCATATTCATATTATAATAAATATTTTATTTATTAATTTTTATATCGTATGGTATAAATCCATCTTCTAGTCTCTTTCATGTGTAACGGGTCCCGGGGCATTTTGTGTATAGAACCAAGCAGTTACGCTTCTTCGTGCTTTTTAAGCCAAAACGTATGGTAGGCAGCAATTATCATACAAACCTCTCCATTTAACAATGATGAAAGGAGTAGTTTAAGTAATAGAGTGAGCACACTTGGAGGAAATTACAAGTGAATAATGAGGGGTTGACTCCTTTTTCCTCCAAATAATAATTTTGAGTGAATATGTAAGTGAAGTTTTAACTCTCTTTAACATTCTTATCACAAATCATTCATTACAAAAATCATCATTACAAAATTAGATAAGGGAAGGCGGAGGACAGTGGAAAATTATTTGTCTTGCAATTTTTCAAATGCCGACCATGGAATTTAAGAAACCCATATTCCAAAATTATTTGTAAGAAAAACTTATAATCTTTTTTCGGGTTTACGAATCCAAAAATAAGGGATTTATATATATTATTGCGTACATCTTCGGTTTTGTAGCAAATGTTAAATCGATCTAGTTTTCAATGACCAAATGGTCAAATGTGGTATTAATTTCCACACCGCTGAGTTTTTGGTTAAAATCTTATCCGAAAGAGAAAGTTTACCTATTTGATAGGTGTTTTTATACAATCTTCATTCAGGTGAAGAACGGTAAATCAACTTTTATTTTTCTTTCTGATATCAACTGGGGAGGGGTGGGAAGAAACCTACTGTCATCCGTTGACAAGAAATAGAAATATTTGTAGATTTCAAGGTGTAATAAGTAAGTGAAAAGTCTTTGTTGAAGAAATGTCTTCCATACCGGCCGAGAGAGAGAGCACCAAACAATCCAGACCGTCCACCAAGGTTTGGATAACTAGCCATGCATGTGATGTGGCAAGAGCAAGACAGCTCCACTTCAGGGGAGAGAGAGAGAGAGAGAGATCCAAACGAATCCAGACCGTCCACCAAGGCATGGATAGGTAGCCATGCATGTGGCAAAAGCAAGAGAGCCCCACTTTAGGTGGATATTTTACCGTAAGGTTTTTCCGTAAGTTTGGGTGGGATTATATGGCTGAGAGAGAGAGAGAGAGAGAGAGCACCTGAAGGAATCTCCATAGCATTCGAAGTGTTAAACTATTTCAGTGTCATGTGCTTGGGACATGGCTCGTGTGATTGGGCGATTAGATATAGGGAGTTGGTATGTGACTTCTTACAGCCTCCTATGGTTGCAGCAATATCTAGAAATTTCGGTTGGGATAAGAATTAGATGAAAAGGGTTGCTTCGGGGGAACCCAAAACCTCCAAGTTAGATAAGCTAATAGTAGGAATATTATCTGCTGTCCCATTAATGAAAAGTCTTTAGAATTTATACATAGACCAGACTCTAAATGAAAGCATAAAAATAGGAAACACTTTCTCACGACATCTCTCCACTATGAGAGTGACTAACTAGACTCATACAATTACTCAACTAAAGTTTAAAAGACATGCAACTTTATCAGTATTCAACAACTAAAGGCACGTAGTCACTACTTTAAGCAATTCCACTAACACTAGTAAAAAAAAACCTTGCACGACCAAATTTTGCGTGATGAAATAATATTCGTCGCTCAAAGTCTTGCGCGACGAAAAACAATTCGTCACTCAAAGTCACTTTGCGAGAAAAACTTTTGCGCGACAACAATACATCGTCGCTCAAAGTGACTTTGCACAACGAAACAATAAACTTCGTTGCACAAAATCTTGAGCGACGAAGTTTGTTTCGTCGCGCAAAGTCTTTACAAAAATAAATAATAATAAAAATTATTTTTTTAAATCTTTGCATGACGTAATCCAAATATTTCATCGCCTAAACCAATTTTTTATTTTTTTTATTTTGTATGCATAACACTTAAGAAGAAATAAAATGCTATATATATTTATTAAGTAGCTTTAAATTTATTATTTTAGTTCAGATCGGATTTTTGTTAGAAAAATATATTATTGTAGTTCGGATTGAGTTTTTGTTAGAAAATACATATTTTAAATTGACAATCGAATTAGTTCATTGTATTCATATAGGGTCAAGGAGTGTAGCTATAAAAAATCATCAAAATCGAAATTGAAATAACTGTTAAATTGTGATTTTTCGTTTATAACCGTTGAAAAGTTTTATCCCGTTACTTGATCTCTGAATGTTTATTTTTCCGATTTTTGGCGTATATGATCTCGAAGTATAAACAAACAAGTTTGACGGTTGGATCGTTGAAACTAGTTTCGTGGAATGCGTATGCCATTAAAACAATATATTCACTAACAATTAAGAGTTTATTTATACTTTCGTTAAATATAACATAAGATTTTGTGGTATCCACTAGTGTAAATATTTTAAATTTAAAATCAAATTCAATCATTGTATTCATATAGGGTCAAAGAGTGTAGCTGTAAAAAAATCATCAAAATCGGAGTTAAAATAACCGTTAAATCGTGATTTTTCATTTATAACCGTAAAAAAGTTTTGTCCGTTTACTTGATATCTGAATGTTTATTTTTTCCGATTTTTAGGGTATATGATCTCGAAGTATAAACAAACAAGTTTGACGGTTGAATCGTTGAAACTAGTTTCGTAGAATGCATATGCCATCAAAACAATATATGCACTAACAATTAAGAGTTTATTTATACTTTCGTTAAATATAAGATAAGATTTTGTGGTATCCACTAGTGTAAATATTTTAAATTGAAGATCAAATTCAGTCATTGTATTCATATAGGGTCAAGGAGTGTAGCTATAAAAAAAATCATCAAAATCGAAGTTAAAATAACCGTTAAATCGTGAATTTTCATTTATAACCGTCAAAAAGTTTTGTCCCTTTACTTGATCTCTGAATGTTTATTTTTTCCGATATTTGACGTATATGATCTCGAAGTATAAACAAACAAGTTTGACGGTTGGATCGTTGAAACTAGTTTTGTAGAATGCGTATGCCATCAAAACAATATATGCACTAACAATTAAGAGTTTACTTATACTTTCATTAAATATAACATAAGATTTATGGTATCCACTAGTGTAAATATTTTAAATTGAAGATCAAATTTAGTCATTGTATTCATATACGATCTGGAAGTATAAACAAACAAGTTTTACGGTTGGATCGTTGAATGGTGTGTGTATATATATATATATATATTTATTAAGTAGCTTTGAATTTATTTATTTTGTACGTATAACACTTAAGAAATTGAATAGTTATATATTTATTAAGTAGTTTTAACCTTATTTATATTTTAAAATAAAATAATTTTATTTTTTATTATTCATAAAAATTATTTTTATAAATATTGCGCTAAGAACCAATTTTTCGTCTCGAAAAAGTTTGTCGCGCAAAACTCTAAAAATTTGGGCGGGTACCAAAACTGGGACGTGGGAATTTTTTTTAATTTTTTTTTAAAGACTTTGCGCGACCAATATTCTAATATTTTTCATCATGCAAAACTTTAGTATTCGTCGCACAAGGTAGATTTGTGCAACCTTAAGGTTCGTTGCGCAAAGAAGATTAGGTTTCGTCGCGCAAACCATATCTTCAGGAGTTTTGCGTGACGGATCATGCACGACCAAAATTTCGTCGAGCAGGTTTTGTGAGACGAAATTGTACTTTTCACAACAAACTTATTTTGTTGCTCAAAGTGTTTTTTTGTAGTAGTGCAAGCACGTGACATTCCTTCCCCCATCGAAAAAATCTTGTCCTCAAGGTTGACATCCGAAAAACTGAGATCAAGGGAATAGATTTCGGGAAGAGCTGCATCTTTATTTTCCTCCACCTCTTTCCAAACGTCATGTTCACTTTCAATTTTGTTTTGTTGAAGGTGGCACCCCTTTGAGTGCCACATCTTGTCCACCCACGTTAAATGCCGTTTGCAGTTTAGAGAAATTCCAAACAATTCGCTCTGTTTGGGCCAAAATTCTGCACGCCAGCCCATTTTTGTCGAGAGGCCCAGGAACCAAACATTTGGGCTTTCATCTACAGGAATCAGAAGGAAGAAAACCAAGACACTGGAAAAGCCCAGACCTTTTTGAACAATTTACAAAAGTAGCCATAATTTGAAAAGAATAAAATACTATTATTTGCAATTAAAAAAAACTGATACACACAGTTTTGGATAAAGGCCCAGCTTATGAGAAGATCTCACCATTTGGTCTCTATCCCAAAAAGCAAAAACAGCAGATCTTTTTCTCAAGGAAGCCCCCACGTGAATTCCTAACTTTGAAAAGTCAAAATTTTCAACTATCACAGAGAAGTTGATCTCTCGATTTGATTGTCCATCCTTTTGATATAATAATATATTTGATAATATATATTTTTGATATATAGATATATATATATATATAATATATAAGGCATCCTCCGGATAATTCAAATCGAGCAATTGGATGTCCGACTCGGGCCTATGTGGGATGACTGATCAATAGAAATACTCTAACACTCCACCTTTGTCATATATTCCATACATCGCACTGGATAGGTATCATATTCATGGAATACGATTCACTTTCAAGATGCTTTGGTGGTGAAATGGTAGACATACGCGAGACTCAAAATCTCGTGCTAAAGAGCGTGGAGGTTCGAGTCCTCTTCAAGGCATAATATTGAATATTGAGAATGCTCATTGACTTGGAATAAGTTCGGCAGCAGAACACGAAATCTTGGTGAGTTAATGAAAGCGGGTCTTACAAGAAGACTTCTCCATTGTTTATAGCCAAAGAGAGAAGATCAAAATCCCTTTTTAGATACAGAGAAACTCTGTACCAAAACAGGTGATCTTTCCAAGAGATAAGCAGACTAAGGGAGTTGTTCAACATGAAAAACAAACTGATCATCATGGCAGATTGTGTCTTTCTTTCTTTATGAGGAACAAATAGAGAGAAAAATGAGTTGATTTTCTTTTTTGGGAAAGGCAAGGAAAAAACCACCATGGGGACTGACTGTTGATGGTTCTTCTCTGCCAGAATATATAAATTCCCATTTTTTGTGGCATTTAAAAAGAAAGATCTTTTGAAAAGATTTGCTGCCCATTATTCAAAGATTAAAAACCTCCAGCATTTCCTATAAAATAAGAGAGAGGGTGAACAAATGAAGGATAGCCAAGAAATCAATCAAAACAAAAACTCTCAAAGTCACAATTGACAAACTCAAAAAGATCCATTGATCTCAAAAGCCTTCAAACACTGAAGCAACCAAAGCTCATTGAGCCACAATAAACAAGTCAGCTATAATTCAAATCTCTTATTTCAGTTCAGTTCAGAGAAGCAGTTTTACAAAGCAAGATTCCTCCCGTTACAAATTTGGTTCAGCACAAAGCCAAGTCAAGCAGAGTCAGGGTTCTTCACAAATATGAAAATCTCAACAAATTTACAGAAAGCCTTGGTCAAGCAGAACAGGCACCATAGCGCAGTTCCAGCTCAGGGACCATTAATCTAGCCACTTATGTTCCCTTCAGACTGGAGAGGCCCCAATTCTACCCGTTCGGCAAGCCTTCCATGGCTCATAATAAATTGAAGCTCTGCCAAACTCAAATGTTGGTATCTATTTCTAGCATAAACTCATCTAATCCAGCCTGGTTCAGAGACAACTATCCAAGCAGAAATCGAAGTCCAACCTTCTGTTGTCTTATTTCGGAGTCGTCATTTCACTTTTGAGTCTTGTAACAGGCAGTTTTGCCTAAATAGTTTGTCTTCTTTTCATTTATTCTGGTCAGAACTACCAATTTTGTACTGTGAAAAATTATGAATTCCTCACCAGTCTGAGGCACAGAAAAAAAAAACTTACTTGGGAGATATTCCTCACCCAAATTCACAATTGCTTGTTTAAAAGTGAGTAACTTGGGGTGCAAGTTATCTAATTTTTAGAAGTCTGCTAGGGTTTTGAACTGCTAGCAGTGACACACTCACGCACAAAAGAAAGTTGACTTGTTGACCACCAATGGTTGTCAAGCCAATGGGGAACTTTACTCTACCATCACAAGATTAAAATCAAAACGGGTGAACAGGCTCTAACGTGAGCAACCATTGTGCGCCCAAAATAGCATCACAACCCTTTAAAGGAAGAAGGTAAAAGTCAACAGTGATGGGAACTCAATGAATTAGCATGCACACCCCTTTGCAAAGCCCAACACTAGTAAGCATTTCACCATTGGCAACTGACACCTCAAACTTTCCATATCCAGTGGGATTAACACCAACTTTCCTTGCAACTTTATTACTCATAAAATTGTGGGTGCTTCCAGAATCCACCAAGAATGCCATTTGATGCTTACCCACTTTTCCATGAACTCGCATTGTTTGTGGAGTTCAACCACCATAAACAGCACGGAGAGATATTTCGGGAAATACTTCTTCACCCAATTCCACTTCATGAGTATCTGCATCTTTGGCGTCATTTTCTTCATTTGCCCAGCAATCTTCAATGAGAAATAATTTTTTGCATCGATGACCAAGACTAAACTTCTCATCACAATTGTAGCAAAGTCCTTTATTTTTTCGTTCCTTTAGTTCGACCGCAAACAACCGCTTAATTGGTATGAAATTTTGTCGATGGTCAGACTTCGTAACCCCATTGGTACAGGGCTGCTTCACATATGAAGTTAAGTATCGCCTAGTTTTTTATTACGAGACTCATATAGGCGAGCCAATCCGATGGCAGCAGAGAGTGTTTGCGGTTTGCACGCTTGCACGTCAGTTTTGATATTCTCCTTCAAACCACTCACAAAACAACCAATTTGTTGATATGGAGTTATTCTTCTTGCTGTAATCAATAATTTCTCAAACTCGGTTTGATAGTCTCATACCGAACCTAATTTTTGTAACTTCATTAGATCACCAAAAAAGTCTTGAAATTGGGTGGGGCTGTACCTGTCATGCAGTCCTTGCTTAAAAGTCGCCCATGTGGTGATGGGGGTTTCCTCCTTCATCAATTGGAACCACAATTGAGCATCCCCTTCAAGATTGAATGAAACTAATGGAACTCTCTCAGTTTATGGAGTTTGGTGAAAGTCAAAGAATTGTTCAACACGACATATCCAACTTGTGGGGTCTTCCAATCCGTTGAAGTGAGGAAAGTCTAGCTTCACCATTTTAGAAAGGTAAGAGGTGCTAGAGTTTGGAGTGCTGGATCCACTTCCAAAGGTTCGGCCTCGTCCATCATCGAAGGTACTACTAAAGCCATCACCAGTATGAGAAATTTGATCCAAGTGAGCATTCATGGCTGAGAACATCTCTTGCATCTCCTTGAGTATTCATTCTTGTCCAGTGGCTAGGGAGCTCACTTCAGTTTCCAGGCATGTTACTCGCTACTCCTCCATGCCCGACTCTGATACCAAGCTGTTATGTGCCTGGGACATGGCTCGTGTGATTGGGCAATATCTAGAAAGCTAAGTTGGGATAAGAATTAGATGAAAAGGGTTGCTTCAAGGGAACCCAAAACCTCTAAGTTAGACAAGCTAATAGTAGGAATATTATCTGCTGTCTCATTAATGAAAAGCCATTGAAATTTATACATAGACCAGGCTCTAACTGAAAGCATAAAAATAGGAAACACTTTCTCACGACATCTCTCCACTATGAGAGTGACTAACTAGACTCATACAATTACTCAACTAAAGTTTAAAAGACATGCAACTCTATCAGTATTCAACAACTAAAGACACATTATACATAACCACTACTTTAAGCAATTCCACTAAGCACGTGACATGCAGCTAGTGGCAGACCCACAGAGGAGCAAGGTTCTGCGAAGAAGAAGACTATACCTAATTTCTTTTGCTAGAACGACATCATTCTCTTTCTTTGATATCTTTTAATGAAACACATTGTTTCATTTGAGTTCTCCAAGTAGTGGGTTTTGGCGGTGGCAAAGCCCAAAAAGATAGGCTTGCAATTAACTTATAAATATCCGTAAGTTTTTGTTCAGTCTGGGGCAAAAGGCTCTGGAATTCACTATTTAATTGAATAGGTATAGTTTCTCATGCCCACTTCATAACATATCTAATACTTATTAATAGGCCATCTCTTTTCTACTTTTTCTTTTTAAAATGTCATCTCTATTTTTTCTTTTTAATAGTTATGTCATCTTCATGTTGTAGTGTTAAATAGATGAGTCCAAGGCCACCTTCTTGTCGAAAAAGACAGTGAACTCTTCTGATGAACGGTACTATTTGACCGCTTCCCTCACCGCAGCCTGGAGTTCGACAGCCTTAGACCGCTTGGTCTCCTCCAGCACCACATGCACCTCTCCCTTCACCGCCTGGGTATCTTTGGTGGCCTCTATCGTCGATTCCAACGCCACCTTCATTTGGGCAAGCTTGGCTTCAGCAGCTTTCACTTGCCGTTCAAGAGCCTCCTTGTCCTTGATGAGGTTGGCATGATCCTAGAGCACCTTGCTAGCCTCAGCGCCCTTTGAACGACCATCCTCGTAAGCCATTTTGGCACGTTCGGCAGTCATGATGGCTCGCTTCATACAGAGCCACATATCCATGGATGCCTGCAAGAAAAAGCAATATATCAGTGATCTAAAAAGATTATGAAATCTGACAGATAAAAGGAAGAGATTACTCTACACATCATGCACACCTCCCAAGACTTATAAAAGGGGTGCAAGTCCCAAAATGGAGGTAATGGGGATCTTTCCGCAAACATATCCATTACTCTGTCCAGATTACTATTCACTTTGTACTTACTTAAGTATTGAAGAGCCTTAGGCCGGTACCACACCGGTGCCTAAGGTCTAACCGAGCGTTTTATCTTGCAAATCGATTGCTCCTCCAAGGCCCAAAGCACACCGAAGGCCCATACATCACTAAGTTGGGCCCAAAAGTGCTGAACCATTTTTGTGCATCAACAATTGTGATTAATTGTTGAAATTAAAACTAAATTTGTTGTTTATTGCTGTTTTCTCACATAAGGATTAGAATATCATATTATTAGCTTTCTTTTTTGCAGACAAGTAGAGTAATTTGGGACAACATTGTCAATGATGTTGGGTAAGGAGCATACAAAAACGCATGGTCAAAGGACAAATAGAAGACAGAAGCGGCATAAACTTAGTTATGGCGATTGGGCAGTGCTTCCTCGGGGTGTCCTTGAGATAATCTTTGAGCTACTACCTCTGACTGATTGTATATTCATTAGCAAAGTCTGCGAAGCCTGGAGATATGTTTTTTTCTCAAGAACTTGCTGGTTGGCAAAGCCGTATGTGGTGCCCCATGTCTCATGATGTCTAGCCAAAAAGATAGAGAGCTAAGGACTTGTATTAGCAAGCTACATAATGAAATGGTCAGGTAATATTCTTTTTACAAATTTAGTTATGTACCCAATCTTAGACATAGTCTTATAAAGAAACAATATACAATTTAAAAACTATAATAACATAAAATAAAAAAAACCCAAAAATTGACAGTTGTCGATTTTTTCAATTTAATAGCTATTTTGTAGTTTATTTGTGTGTGTAAAATACCTATTGTACTATGGATTTGAGAGAGAAAAATCATATCTGCAAACTATTCATTTTGACATTAATATTAAATTGCCAAAAAACCAAATCAGATCCATTTTCTCTTTTCTAACTAGTGCTTTCTTGATGTTGGAGCAAGAGGAGCTTCCATTAAAGCTGAGTCTCAAGTCCAACTATATTTTTCATCTCTGATCTACAATTTTCAATATTTCACATTTGATTTCTTATTCTAAAATCGTGCTTCTATTCATATTCGCAACATCTTCTAACACCTGGTTGTAAGAGTGTGCTTCACTATTTAATTGATATTGACTCCTAATATTGTTGGCCTGCAACCGATGTCTAACAACCAGCCTCTGCATCTCTGATGTATAAAACATCCTTCTATATCTTGTATCTATAACTTCATTAATTATGTCCACATAAGCTTGGTTGCATAGACGTCTGTGGTACACTTCTTCGTCTACAAGGATGAGGCCATTGGATCCCATTTGGAACCCTCCCCATGTATCATTACTTTGATCGGGTTGCATCCTAAACATTAATTTAACAGGTAGTTAATAACAAAACAATTTAAAGAAACCTTAAAACTTGCTCTGATACCAACTTACGTATTTACGAAACCTTAGGTTAAGACGTGATTCACACCTTAATTATAGAATTTAATAAAAACTATAACTAAAATGTGAAGAAACATTTAAAGAAATAAAATAAATATTTCGTATAAAATATTCAACGGAAATGACGTCTAAAATCTTAAATTTTTTACATTATTTTACAAGTTAGAACTACTTAAGAGTAGCTCATTATTCATCCACAAGCTATGTACACAATACACTCTACAGATATGCCAAAATCATCACAAGCTCTAGATTTTAAGTTCAGTACCTGCAAAATCTGTTAGGAGGTGAGCGAAACCACAGCTCAGTAGGGACATAAACCTTTTGACGGTAAATTGATCTAACTAAATTAAGTGACATACAATCACACAGCCAAATATCACATTATTAATAATAATGCATGAATGCTCTTCATCTACTCCCGTTAATTCATATAATTGGACAAGCAGACCTGTGCATCCCATACCATGATTATACCACTTGGTCCCAAATGCCCATTTATATGAACTAACCCCCATCTCAGTCATCCCATAAATCCCATTTTGTTAGTCATCTTGTCTAACTCCCTGTCGCCAGTCCCGTATCACCCAATAAAAACCATGTGCATTGTGGGACCCCTAAGATATGGTACCTACCAAGATTTAGACTCAACTACACAAAATATTATTTCCATTACCCTCTTTTTCCCATTATTTTCTCAATCCAACAATTCCAACCAATTTCTATGACATGATATAATTATGCCTTTCACATATCCTATATATCTCACAACAATGTAACCATTTAAAATATCACCAACGTATATATAATTATGCCAACATTGTTTAAAAAGTTAAAGAATATGTAAACACCCAATACAAGGAACGTCAACCAAACTGTAATACAATGCATAATATAATGCTCATGAAATTTAATTAAATCAATCTCTATAAAAGGCCTCCAAACCTCGATTCCAAAGCTAGCTCAAAGTTTAAGAAAAGGGAAATTGGCGGCTGTACCCCTGGCTCACCTAATTTATTCACTAATATCCTTATTTTGAAAACCAATCACAAATGCCCCTTATAAAAACTCCTTATTGACAGCCTATTGCCCATCTTTCACTTTTGTGTAGTCGTTCTGAGCTCTCTCAAATCCTCTTTCACGATCTCACTCAGCCCTCCTCTCCTTTCTTCTCTCTTTCTTGCTCGCACCCACATCGACGACAGTCACTGTCACCTCCTCAAAAACCCTAACCCACATCGGCGACGACGACCTTTCCACCTCCATCTCTCACTCTCAGTCACCTCTTTCGACCTCCATGCCTAGAGATGGCGTCTCAAGTAGACAGCTTGGCTTTTGTCCTACACATTTGGGTTTTCTTCTCCTTGTTTCAATTTCATATATGGGTTTGGATTTTTGGTGCTTGATGTGAGTTCAAGTCCCTCCAAGTCAAATTTGGGTGAGATGGTACAGAAATTTGTTGAAACATAATTGTGGGTTTAATTTAAAATTTTACTCTCTTTGTTTACAATTAATATTTTCAGCTTGTGTAGAGAATGTTATTTCAATGGGATTATACAAGAACTTTTTGAACCAAAATTTTGAGATTGTGCAACAAAATATTTCTCAGTCTGTCTTAAGGAATATTATGCTTGAAGCTTGTCCAATCTACAATGATTTTGAAGATTTCTTTTGCTTATTGAATTTAATTACTGAGTTGGGTTTTTATTCTAACAAAAAACAATTGAAGAAACATAGTTATTTGGTTCAATGATCTAAATTTGTTTGTTCTGTTTTGGGATGTGATTTTTTGAATGAACTACATAAATTGATTATGTCTTGAGGTGGAGGATATCTCCAAAAGTGACTGTGGAGTTTGTAAGTTTTATGAGAATGCCAATATTTTAATAGAAGTTTGATATTGTAAAGTTGGCATATGTTGGATCTTGGTTTTCTCTATTTTTCGTAATTCAATCTTGGATTTGTTTTTGGTGCAATCTATAGTCCTCAAGGTTGGTATCATGCCAAGATTGTGTTGGTGCCGTGAAAAGGGTTCTTGGAAAACTTGAAGGTTTGACAGCTCTTGCATTTATCTAGTTCCATTGTCTTGCTCTTCTTCTTCTCTGAGACTGTGCTTCTTTAACTATTTGAACAATGCCAAATGCACTATTGATGATTTCCTAATTTGTATTTTTATTCGCCTACCAAGACACACATTCACTTCACCCATGTTTATAATAACTTTTATATTGCAATTGTGTAGTACGAAATTGTGTGCATGAATGTGAACTTTAATTTTGCAATGGTACTGTCTTGTGAAAGTTTGCTATGTGAAGAATTGGGTCATTTAAAAAGGCCAACAATCTGTATGAAGATATGATTCTTGAAGGTCGTCCTTCACTGGAGAAATCACAAATAGATTTCTCAGAGGTATATATAACTCAGCAAACTTCAAGCTCAGCTCTTAAATGATGTATATCATAATTTTTTTTTCTTATATTAAAAAATGTATATCATACTGTAGTATTACATTTATCCACTCTATTTGTTGTAATGCATGTAAATGTATGTGTATGATACTTGTAGTGCATGTAAATATGTCTGAACTTGTTTTGGTATTGGTTTTGAATCTGTTTTGGTATTGGTTTCTGTTATGAATTTTGGAATTGGTTTATGTTTTGAAATTGGTTTTAGTTGTGATTGAATGTTATGTTTTTGTTTCCATTGTGATTGAATGACTTGCTTCTAATATGATTTTTTGATTTGTTTTATACAGATGGAAGATTGTCTTGTTTCAGGTGGCAGTGTTCTCTTGGGGAGGAAATTGCTAACTTTCAGCTTAAATTCGGTTATAAGAGGAGATGTCGTCGAATTTTGCTAATGTGTTAAAATTCCCGACCAAGAGGAGATGTAAATTTTTTATTTTTTGCCACTTTCTTATGTATATCTTAAGATGTAATGAGATAACATTGTTAGTTCATCAATTTATGAAAGTCAAGTTAGAAGGAATTTTGTCAATCTCTAGTTTCCATGGTTTGATCGTTCCCCTTGCAAAGAAGAAAAAAATACAAATGTAACCAAGTTAGTGATTTAATTGGCAAATGTCATGACAGATATGTATTGCACATGTATATCCCTTTATTGCGTGTATTGCCATTGTATAGCCTTTATTGCTTGTGTATTGCTACTGTATTTCCCCCGTATATCTTTTTTTTCTTCAAGTCTGTGTTGGAATAAATTTATAGGGGGAGTATGGAGTTTGTGTATTGCCATTGTATAGCCTTTTATTGCTTGTGTATTGCTACTGTATATGCCCCTTTCTTTTTTTTTTTTTTTTTTTTTTTTTTTTTTCTATGTTGGAATAAATTTATAGGAGTATGTGTATTGCTATTGTATAGCCCTTTATTGCCTTTATATTGCTAGTGTATTGCCCCCGTATATCTTTTTTTTCTTCAAGTCTGTGTTGGAATAAATTTATAGGGGAGCATGGACTTTGTGTATTGCCATTGTATAGCCTTTTATTGCTTGTGTATTGCTACTGTATTGCCCCGTATATCTTCTTTTTTCAAGTTTGTGTTGGAATAAATTTATAGGAGTATGTGTATTGCTATTGTATAGCCCTTTATTGCTTGTATATTGCTAGTGTATTGCCCTCGTATATCCTTTTTTTTTCCAAGTTTGTATTGCAGGTATGAAGGTGGGGATGGGGATGCGAATGACATACCCACCCCCGATTCGACCCACTGAATTAGAAAATTTGAATACACAATATAGGCCCAAAAATGACATATTTTAACGACAATGTAGCACATAGAATACTCAAATACATACCAAATTAAGAAAATTTAACATAATTCACAATCCACAGAACACCAAACCCAATACAAATACAATTCAAATTCACACTCCATAACAAACCAACACAATTCATAATGTATGTTCAACATTAGGTAGTAGAACATTGTTTTTACAGGTGCTTTTATTGTGGCCTGTGCCACTGCATCTTGAGCATTTTCTCCTTATGATATCCTCTCCTTGCGAGGGAATCCTTAACTTCTTTCGTCGGCCTGGCATGACCTTTGCATTAGGAGGATGCACAACTCTACTTTGGACATCTTCATGAATAACCCACAGCTCTTGAGGCTGTATCGGGTAGATGGTATCTAAATAAACATCTAACCACGTATTTCAAGTGTAATAATGAGAAGCCATGGAGTATACATTTAGTTTCAAGAAACGGCAAACTGCAACTACATGCTTGCAAGGTAGTTGCTCAAGCTGAAACTTCCTACAATTGCAAGTGTTATTCGTCAAATGTATGTGGTCGTCCATATCACCGTCCACGACATTATACTCTATGTGATTCAGTTTCATGACATTCATCCTTGAAGCACATTCCAACCTGCATCTTAGCTTCTTCTCGCCAAAGTCAGGGCACAGTGTTGATGTACATTTCAAAGCAAAATCACGACGTTTATTGAACCATTTCACAAGCAGATTGATGATTTCATCAATCAAATGCACCACTGGTAGCATCCTTGCGAACTGAAGGACTGAGTTGATTGACTCCGCAATATTTGTTGTCATTACATTGTATCTACGTCCATCCATGTGAGCTCTAGACCACTTGTGTAATCCTACACTTTCAAGATATTGAGCAACCTCATCATTTCCCTTGATCTTGTGAAAATGACGATCAAATTCAGCGATACCATAAGATTTCGCAGCTTGTTCAAAGTATAGCAATAATTTTTCACGTTTTTTCAATTTGAAAGTGCGTTTCATGTTCCCCTTCATATGGTAAAAGCATATGTCATGTTGCGCCGTTGGAAAAACGTTGTGCCACACATTCTCTATGCTAATATTCCGATCATAAATAATCACAAGATTTGGACACTCACCAATGGCTTCATGAAGCTTACTGAAAAACCAATGCCATGATGCATTCGTCTCTAAATCCCCAATTCCAAAAGCAAGATGATATATATTTCGATTTCCGTCAAATGCATTGGCAACAAAGAGGACACCCTTGTACTTACATTTTAAATGCGTGGCATCCACAACAATGACTGGCTGCATCGAAGATTGAAACCCTCTAATACATGCCCCAACAACCATAAAAAAAATAAAAATACAAAAGTGACTGTTCTCATCGGTGTGGATGTATGTCTTTGTGCCAGAATTCACATGCTCTAATTCATGACAATAAGCTTGAAGGAGAGAATATGCCTCATCTACTGAACCTCTAGTGGACATTAGAGATAGCTCCCTCAATCTCCAAGCTTTGCAATAATTAATGGTGACACCAAAGTTTTGTTTCACATCTCTGATTATATCACTTGGTGTGTATATTGTGCGAGAATCTTTCAACTTCCGCTTCATTGCATTACCAACGAGTTTAGCACTTGCATGACGATGCTTGTCATGTATAAAACTCATATCACATTCATGGACCGGATTATATTTCACAATCATGAAGTTCTTTTCTCCATAACTAGATGCACGAAGCCACCATGGGCATGGACCTTGAGAACAAACCACAACCAATCGACTCTTGCAAGATTGCTTCACCTTAAATTCAAAGTGACCTTTCACTGCCGCCAACTATAACTTGTTGGACAGGGCTTCCTTACTAGAGAAAATTTTCCCAACTTCCAATTTTGGATCCCAATTATTCCATGAATATGTGCTTTCAATATCTTCTTCTTCATCATTTACAATACCCAAATTGTGCACGTTTTGTTCACCTATTTGCCTCCAATTATGTTGAATAGAAAGTTCTGACCTTGTTCCGAAACCCACCACACCCACTTGTGAAAATGTCTCCAAATGGGCCAAAATAGAAGGGGCTGAGTGCATTTGCAAGCCATTCATTTCCGTACCATTATCACCACTATGCACTCCCTCCACCCTTGTAAAATTAATCATGTCTAAATATTCTGTTCCAAAATCACCATGTACATCACCATTGCTTTCAACTATGGCATTTGAAGAACAGGCCATCCGACTCATATCCGTTGTGATATGCATACGATCACCTACGACATTTGTCACTCCTCTGTCTTCTATGCTCACCAGCAAAGGAGCCACTTTCGAAGGAATTACGTCACAAATGTACTTAATAAAAAATTTAACATCATCATTGTCCTCAATCCTGATATGCTTACACTCATTCGAGGATATTGAAACTAAGAACTTTAAACAAAGCTTGTCTTCCCTGTTGTCTGTATTAACAATCCTATGCACCCGTTCCAAAAGCTCACCAAACGTGATGTTTTGTGAAACTATTATGCCTTTTGAGTCACCCCCTTCATATGTGCACATCTTCTTTGAGGTTACCCATTTTCCATTGTAGCAAACCAAAATTGCAATTGTGTCCATTTTTGACCATCATAAAATTTCCTTTTGTTAACACATGTTAAGCTACCAATAAAAAATCTATCAACTAGTGGATAAACCATATAGATAAAACATCAATTAAACATCAACAACCAACAATTTTAAAACATCAATATTATGCAAAGTGAAACGGTTCAGCTAGCATAGCTGTGTTTCAAGCTCCAGCAAGGAAAGCATGTATCAAGAACTCTTAAAGTTAAATCCAACCCAAAGCCATTAACCTAGGGTATCCTATTACTAACTAACTACTTACAAATTGCCAAACCTTGACTATCCAGGATTGTTTCATATCGAATATCATACCACCCAAAAGAGTGAATACATTACTTTCAAGGAGATATGCAAGTCCCAGTCTCAATCACAAAACAGTGTATACATCATTTCAAAGACAAATCATAAGCACAAAACAATGTATCCAAGTCCAAGAGCTTAACAACCACATGAAATAGTTGGTAAATTTCATTCAATCACAAACAGCAAGCCACAACAGAAACCCATTAATATCTCATTCAAAACAGTGAAAGCAATCACCCAATAATCTCAATCAATCAAAGAAACCCAAAACAAATACAAAAAAAAACAAAAACAAAATCAAACATAATCAATTTATGTAGTTCATTCAAAAAATCACATCCCAAAACAGAACAAACAAATTTAGATCATTGAAACAAATAACTGTGTTTCTTCAATTATTTTTTGTCATAATAAAAACCTAACTTAGTAATTAAATTCAATAAGCAAAAGAAAATCTTCAAAATCATTGTAGATTGGACAAGCTTCAAGCATAATATTCCTTGAGACAAACTGAGAAATATTTGTTGCACAATCTCAAAATTTTGGTTCAAAAAGTTCTTGTATAATCCCACTGAAATAACATTCTCTACACAAGTCGAAAATATTAATTGTAAACAAAGAGAGTAAAATTTTAAATTAAACCCACAACTATGTTTCAACAAATTTCTGTACAATCTCACCCAAATTTTACTTGGAGGGACTTGAACTCACATCAAGCACCAAAAATCCAAACCCATATATGAAATTGAAACAAGGAGAAGAAAACCCAAATGTGTAGGAGAAAAGCCAAGTTGTCTACTTGAGATGCCATCTCTAGGCATGGAGGTCGAAAGAGGTGATAGAGAGTGAGAGATGGAGGTGGAAAGGTCGTCGTCACCGATGTGGGTTAGGGTTTCTGAGGAGGTGACAGTGACTGTTGTCGATGTGGGTGCGAGCAAGAAAGAGAAAAGAGAGGAGAGGAGGGCTGAGTGAGTGAGATCGAGAAATTGTGAAAGAGGATTTGAGAGAGCTCAGAACGACTAAACAAAATTGAAAGATGGGCAATAGGCTATCAATAAGGAGTTTTTATAAGGGACATTTGTGATTGGATTTCAAAATAAGGATATTAGTGAATAAATTAGGTGAGCCAGGGGTAAAGCCGCCAATTTCCCTTAAGAAAACATAAGCTACACACACACACACACACACACACACACACACACACTCTCTCTCTCTCTCTCTCTCTCTCTCTCTCTCTCTCATTTCTTACTCTTATTTCAATTGTAGAATGCCCTATTTATATTAAGGGAAAGTCGGTTGCTACTAACCTGTGGCGGCTAACAAAATAGCATGTTATCGATTTGGCATGACATTAACAAGATAAGGCTGCCAGCAACCTGGAATTATAGCATGAAGTGTCTCATGCTTTACAAGGTAAATAGATGAACTCAAGGTGATAATGCATGTAATGAATGTAAGACTGCCAGGTATAAAATGTAATAGTAGGAGGTGTTGCAAATGCAATAAGATTACTTCACTTTTGAGCTTAGCCATTTAACATGCATGAAGTGGACGACGCATGGATAACAAACTTCTTTATATATTTGTTTAATAATCAAAGAAACTAAATATTATCATAAACATAGAATATATAAGTATTATTATAATAGTATTCATAATAATTAATATAAAAGTATATCAACAATATTTATATATACATACCAAGATAATTACACACATAAATATAACCAATATATATATATATATATACTAAATAGAAATAATTATTAGAATAGTATTGTAAATGTAAAATAATACATATATATATATACATAAACATTTAATCTTCTTTTTAAAAAACTTTTAAGAATACAGATTTTCACAGACATATATTCCTAACAATAATGTTATTTAGACATACAAGATTGACAATATTAGCTGACTATCTTATGTTGTAGTTGATGTGGTCATGCCATGTCAATTAATGAATATTGCCATGTAAATTCTATTTTTATTTATTAATTTTTCTTTTCAATAATCATTAAAAACAAGAACTAAAAGTGAAATAGAAAATAAATAAATAAAAACCCTGACGTCCCTCGTCTGTAGCCTCACGCTTTATCTGCTCTTAGTCTCCACAGCATTCCCTTCCTCCATCAAATCCACCCATTCCCATCCTCCATTGTTGCTGAGATTTGGAGTTTTCTCAATAAAAATCTTCTACCACTTTTTTAATTTAAACCTATGCGTAAAACATTTATAAAAAAGAAAAAAGAAAATCGACAAATTTATTATCGAAGTTGATGTTCCGATTGCTCTATCAATTTGTCCAAACACTCTTTCCAATCCGAAACCTTCTCGCCTTCACTGACTACCTATTATCACACGATGCCATAAAGATTGGTCACTCTTATCAAGAAGGGAAAAAATACATATCAAAATAAATTAACAAGGGATTACAAATTTACAATATTACATCTTCTCCACTGCAATGTCTCCATTTTTGTTGTTCTCGCCAAATAAATATGAACTAGTTGTATATTGTGGTAAACAAATCTTAAGATTTATATTAAACTGATGTATAATTGTTGTTGCATATGTGGAATTTAAATCAAATTGCAAATTTTATTCCATTGTTTTTGTGTTTTGAAATTTTCAGTGTAGTTTATTCTTTTCACAGTGCAATAACAATGGAGGATGCGGATGAGGTGATGGAGGGCGGGTGTGTTGGAGACGAAGAGCATAAAAAGCGTGAGGATACATGGATGCTAATGTTTTATTTATTTATTTTCTATTTCACTTTTAGTTTTTGTTTTTAATGATTATTTAAAAGAGAAATTAATAAATAAAAGTATAATTCACATGACAATATTCATTAATTGACATGACATGACCATATCAGTTGACAAATAAGGTGGTAAAATAATGTGATCAATTTTGTGTGTCTAAATAGCATTACTCTATCCACAATACCAGTGTCAATACCACAAACTTGACGATTTTTATCTGCCAAGAAAATGTTATCCCTGACGAGTAAAAACCATCACGAGATTGCAAAATTCGTCACCTTGACACTTTTAAACTGTGAGTTTACCCATTCACTGTAATAATATAAAATGAATGTTACAACATTCGAGTTGTCTATAAATATTATTACAATTACAATATGAATTAAAATTAAAATTAAACATACTAAAAAGAAATAAGGTATCTAGTAATTAAGTCTCAATTATAAGGAATTTGTCCCTTAGAAGCTTTACTTTCCTAATAACAGCTCCAAGTAATGCCAATTACTAGCCTAACACTTCCTTTACGGTTGGAGCCACCCAAATCATACCAAACTAAGAAAATATGAATTTATGGATCAAAGAGTTATCAAGACTTACAACAATTGATAATTCGCTAGTAATCGAATCATCTCGTACAATGAAATTGTTTGGATGACTTTCAAAGTGGCTAAAAGTGCATGATTGTTCTACATTGCAAACCAAAATGAACAACCTATTTTCAATTAGTTGTCCTTTGCAAGAGAGAGAGAGAGAGAGAGAGAGAGAGAGAGAGAGAGAGGGATTTAATTTTTAATTTTTAATTTTAAGTTTTTTAATTTAATTAATTATTATTTATTTATTTATTTAATAATATATGCTACATGACACATTTGTTGCCACGTTAGCAGTTAACATATTTGTTAACAAAAAAACCAATGGCATGTATGAAACTAGTAAAAAAAATCAGCTATATACGCACAGAGACAATTGATGTATCAAACTCTAAAAGTCGTGAATTTTTACTGTAGTAAAATTGACGGAAAAATCCGATGAACTTGGAGGTCTTCAATTGGCTGAAAACATAACTGATGGGGTAAAATTCGACTAGGACGATGACCCAGGAGGTAAAACGGCACTTTACCCTTTCAAAATATTATTGTTTTTTGTGACAGTCAGCCACCATCCAAAAAGAACCAAAAAAAGCAATTGTGAGGATTTAATCGCAAACCGTACATATAATAATTTTATAAAAAAAAAAAAAAAAAAAAAAAAAGGCACCAATCACATCATTAACAAAATGTAGCAATGCCGAATGAGAATGGGAAAAATTCTTTAAAGATCCAGAATGCTTCATGGTTGTTGAGAGAGAGAGAGATTGAAATTATAACTTACAAGATATATACGTAAAGAATCATGTTATTGAGACTCAGCCCTTTTTGTCTAAATAAACATAGACGATACATCATTTAATCATATATGGTATACAAATGCACTTCCCAATGTGAGTATAACTACAAAACTGAAAATAGCATAATATTTCCTCTAAAAGCCTACTGCTATGAACAACCCTAATCTCATCATTCCAGCGAACAGAGAACACTTTGATGCTTCATACATCATGGCACATAAAATTACCCGAAACGTCTCGGTTTGATGCATTCACTTTATTCTGTTCAACGGAATTTTCTCAATCTGCTGAGCAACCCTTTGTTGAGGAGAAATGATTTGGGGCATTGACATACCCCCAGAAACAATTATCTCTGCATTATTGGCAGGGGAAAAAAATGTAACAGCAATCTAATGAAGGGCAAAAAGTTCAATGCTTTGGTGGCAAAAGTTTTGACATTGATGCATTCCCTTCAGTCAACAGAAGACATGCAAATTCCCATGTACAGCTGTTAGGCTAACTACCAACTTAAGTACCTACTGAGCACAACTACTTATGAACTGGTAGACAGAAGTATATCTAAAATTTTTGAATGGGGTCAATGCATGTTTGATATCCATTAGCATGTAATAACGTAGATTTTCCACACAGGGATATATCGGAAATGTAATCAAACTTTTTGTGCCCACCATAAAAATTTCAAAAAATTATAAAGAATTATGTGAAGGTTATTATTGCAGACAATGAAAACGTATGTTAATTTACTATTTTTTTTTAATAATGAAGAGCCTCTGTTACCCACCCTTTCAACAAGGTGAGCATACCTTCAGGGCAGGCCGACACCTCCATCCATGTCTACCAGATCATCACGGTACATGGTTAGGGTTGCCTAATAGTAATAGCTACGAAAACAATAATTACTGTGGAGCTGGCCCAGAGTGGTTGAAAAGAGACAAACTTGGACCTATGTGGGCAAAGGCATGTTTGGGTTGCAATTGTTGATATGACTCAAACCCAATATGAGGGTTGGGGTTTTACTATTACTTGACACAAACATGAAAAGGACATGACCATCTAACATGAATAATTAATGGACCAAGTTAATGTCAAACACGATTGAGCTGATAATGAATAAACACATTTTAGTTTATAACTCACGTATAAGTCACATATTTTGTTTAGGAAAAAATATTACTAAACTTAATTTCAAGTTTTTAGATTAGAACACATGTGGGTCAACTCGAACATGACTGGTTAGAGTTGACTAATATTTGGCAAGAACACTAATGACACGACAAGAACACGACCAACAAACATGGATTGCCGCCCCTACCTATGTCAGGCCAAAAGGAGAAATCTTACCTATGCCTTCTCGAATAGACAGATTTGGTCTTATGATCTCTTTGGAGTTAACAAGAAATATATCGCCTATGTATAGATGATTTGTTGGGACAAAAACACTACACAACTCCTCATCTTCATTATCTCTCTGCAGAAAAACCAACAAGAAAACCAAAGATCAGCAACTGATTGACGCATCAAACACAAACACAATGCACTTAACATGATTCAGCGGGTCATCACGCAAAGCACACCAAAAAGTTATTTTTATGTTGGAAATACAAGGTAAAAGAATACTTGAGTGATGTTGGACTGCTTTTGTTTGATTTCAATTGATAAAAATGAGACAGAAAACAGAAGAAAACTAGAACCACCTAATTGGGTAAACTAAATATCTTTATTCTCAATCATTATGTCAATTGTCTGAAATCCTTTCACAACAGGGCCTATTATATGTAGGCAACTCATGCTCTCACTGTGCTCTCGCTGCTCCAATTATTGGTTTCAGATCAAAGAAAGATACCATTTTTCATTTAGTAAGAGGCAGGAGTACTTATCTCTTCGATTCTAACACTGGTTAGAATCTTCCCCACTGTTATGGTGTTCAGCTGTTCATTGATGAACTTCTTAATGGATCATCTCTCTTAAAATGGTAAAAGAGGAATGCTGCCCGGTTATGTTCCAAGTCAAACAAAACTTGAAAGATTCTGTATTGTAAATTCAGGTTTTAACCAGAGCCCACAACCAGTTGTTTTCCTTGTATCAATTGAAGTTTTTAACTACTGCCTAATCGAAGATGTTAAGCTTGGGAGTTTATAAGAGAAGATCATTGGTCGCATCCCCGAGAATTTTGTACAGATGCTGAAATGAAAATACATTGCCAATGACCTTCTCTAATGAAGATGAGGAAACCAAATTATCATATGCAAAACAGCTTCTATATGGATAGCATTTCAGAATCTTTTATAAAAGATTTTAACCAATTTCTTAAGCTTAGATATGTTTATTATGGCATCATCATAAACGCATTAAACAGTTCAATATGATTAATGACGAGAAAATCATTGTCAAACCACTTAGGACCTGTTTGGGAGTGCTTCTAAAAGGGCTAAAAGTGCTTTTTGACACCCAAAAGCGCTTATTATTGCGTTTGGCAGAAAAGTTTAGAAGTGCTTTCTGGAGAAGCCCCTGCTATGTACTTCTTCAGGAAGCACTCACAAGTACTTTTCCAGGAAGCACTCCCAAGTACTTTTCCAGGAAGCACTCCCAAGTACTTTTCCAGGAAGCAGTAGGATTTCTTACGAAGATTTCAACATCTTTATAATAAAAGTGCTTTTGCTAGAAGTGCTTTCTAGAGAAGCAGTCGCACACAAGCCCTTAGAGTCTATGAGAGAGAGATGGAAGAAGATTAATCATAATCCAGTTATGTCTTATGGCTGGATTAAATCCTCCTCATATTATACAAGAGCTACATCAGAGACTTCAAATTTACCTTCAGTTTTAAAGAGTTCTCTTCAATTTATTTAGTGTCTTTTAAAGACTCTTTATTAAAGTTAGTGTCTTTCAATTCCAGTAATAAAGTCTTAGTACATGTATTTAGTAATAAAGTTTTGGTAAATGTATCCAGTAATAAAGTCTTGGTGCATGAATTTAGAGTCTTTGTATTTGGGTATAAATATATGTAAGTGCCTTGAGCAATGGCAATGAACTTTGATGAATAAAATTCAGTTATCAGAAATTTGCTGGTTTACTTTCCTGCAATGGGAATTTTGGTGTGATGCCATGTTTTTGGTGCAAATCCAAGTTTGTCCTTATCTTTATTATTAAGAGGTTTGTTGTTTAATTTCCATTACTTTCGAGTAATTGTTTCCTTGTTAATATTCCAGCCCATTCTTCTTTCATTGCCATATTTCTAAACTTGTTTTCATTGAAGCCTATGGAATTTAAGACTAAGCATTAGACTTTGAACACGCCCTAAAACTAGAGGAATCTACACAATTCTTGGAATCACTTTAAATTCTAGATTTTGAGGAACATAATGCGGGCAATGAGGTTGACTAGTTTCATGTCTATTTCTTACTGTGAATTCCTCGTTTGTTGATGGGTGTTGATGCCTGGGAAAATTTAATAGCTTGAGTTAATTCTAAAATTGATCTTGGTACTAGTTAACTCATATCCTGCATCAATTAAGCTTAGTGTCTTGTATGCCAACAAAGTAATCCAACACTACAAGTAATTAATGAGGGCCTTCTCTACGAAAGTTCAGGGGAAAAAGAAAAAACAGAACAATAACTCATTTAGATGGACTCAAGAATGACAGCCCAACAAATAAATTTGGAAGCAAATTATTTTCCTGGAATAAGCCATGCATGTGAAATACACAAAACCAACCGCAAGGACAATAAGCATTTTGATTCAACATTTAGAAAAGAAAAGAAAAACATAAAAAAATAAATAAATAAAAAGAGTACCTGAAGGGTGACAGTTGATGTAATAAACCCAAATGCATATTCGCCAACACGTGGGTGACGGATAATTGCCACCTCTTTAAAGCTGTCGTATTCTGGTCTGCAAGGAAAATGAAGCTCAAAGCCTAAAATGCCAATTTGAAGTATATTTATAAAATTACAGAGTTTATATCACTACATTAGAAGGAAACAAACAACATCAGACTATAAGAGTATCTAATATCCACAAGATGGACTTGGCAAAATATGAAAAATACAAAAAATGTTGTTCTGTTTACATACACATTTAATGTCTCATTTTCTTTTCTTTTCTTTTTTTTCTTACAACCATTTTTCAAGCTCTTCGGGTAATTAGCTTGAATCTGTTATAAAAGAAAAATAGGTCAACCAAGCATAAGCCCCAATCCCCAAGCTCGGAACAAGTTGCAAGGGCAATTTAAAATGCTTACAAATTGAAATCCTAAAAACGTAGACAAAGGGCATATACTATGTTATCAAAAAACAGTAGATTACATTCCCCCCCTCCTCTTTTCTTAAGGATCATTTTGGTAATCAACTATTAAAGACTTTCCACTTGAACAGTGTAAATAATTCAACCCAATAAGCTGCAATAACTTATATAACACTAATATCAATTCATTTTCTTTCACTTAAAATTCAGTATTACATTGAATAAAATTTTACTTATAACACCACCTCAGCATCATGTGACTGGTCTTGACATGGAGAAGTCATTCCGGAGAGCATGGTCTCACAATGGTCCAACTCACCAAACCCCTCTCTTGACTCCTGGTCTGTCACGGGTGGAGATGGAGAGATGAGGGAGACGGGAGGGAAGGAGCGATAGAACATACCATTAGTTTTTTTTTTTAATGTCAATTTATTTATTTTTTAATTTTTATTAAAAGCTATAAGAGGTCAGCTGGATTCATTTTCTTTTATTGGTTGTTTGTCCACATGGCATAACCATCACGAAAGGTGTGGGGTCCATCTATGCCATGTAAGGAAAATTCGTTAAGTTAATGTGTAACAGAAGGCTAAAATTCAAACCCAACAAAAACTTTATAGCCTAAATTGCAATGTGCTGTCAATCGTCAAAGGTGTGGGGTTCATCAATGATTTCTGTCTAAGCCTAGATGTATATATTTAAGACTTGCAATCCTCATTTCACTTCACAACTTTCTGCTGGAATACATTATCATCATCTAATATATAGGCTGGCATTGATTTTTTTGAGCCTAGTTTGTTGATTTTCTGAGAAATCTTAATTCTTTATTAAGAACAATCCCTGTGCACTTGAGTTTCAATAAGTATAATGGCTTATTTGGACATCCCATGCTAACTAAAACATGTGTTTTCCTCCGGCTCCTCAACTAGGATGTTTGCACAAGTTCTTGTTCATATCTGAATCCCTTGTTGCAACAATATGTATGCAGGGACCAAGTTTTACAGAAAATAAATAACTGTTACCTGGAGAAATTGCAGCACTAATTTGTTTGGAGGCAGAGTAGATATGCTTAACAAAAGGCATTTTCTTTATGATCCATTCTCCAAGCGAGAAAACAGTGGCACCCATCCACGATGAAACAAAAACACCAACAAAGAATACAAAAAGTAAGGATGTGACAAATCCAAGTCCTGCATCATACACTAAGCACCTTGAGAGAGAGACACTGAAGCAGAATATGGGCGGTACAAAATCAAAATTTAGAGAATACGCATTTAGTAAAGCTACTAAAACAAAAACTGTGCAAATTTCAATAAAAGATGCAGCATATGCTTGCATTGAAAAAATCAACAGTTTAAAAAAAAAAAAATCTTTTGTACCATTGGGCACATTGGGAGGGCAGTCATTAGAAGCTAATATTTCGCAGTGAAGCCGTGTTGAGTGATAAGCAAGAGAAACCCCCACCCTTCCCCCTAAGGTGAAAGTCAATGCAGTGCACTGAGCACATCACCACTACATTCTCTAAATCCCACAACTACCACGGTCTCTCACCAACTTAGCACTACAACTTAAACCCTTCAGATTTATGCAGCTGCAATTGTTCCTACCACACTGAAGCTCCATCAGTAACTGAACACTTGACCACTAAGCCTCATTAAGCACATGCGGACATCTGAACTATGGGGTTAATCAAAGATTAAAAGTTCCTATCACAATGGACAAGCAAATGTTCAATCTTCTTCGCACTTTCTAAAACCTGTTGCATTATCTTTGGACAACATTCCTACCTTAAAAATGAAAATTCATGTTCTCAGTTAAAGAAAAAAGCCCCAATTTTGCACTGCCTACGAGCCTTTTCTTTTCTTTTTTTCTTTTCTTGGCTAATCATTTCTTATGAGTTACAACCTCTAAAGTTATTAACAAATGCCAAAAAATAATTGTAGATATTTAAGAAAGCAGCCACTATTATCATGTTTACCTCACTTAATAAGAGCAGGTTCTCAAAAAAGGCCATTAGTAATGCATTTAGATCATACCGAAGATGTCGATGCCAAGCTGAGCATAGAGTGGACTGAAGAAACCATCAACAAACTGAATAAACCACCATGTAACAAAGAACGTAACAGCAACAGGAAAAAGAACTACACTGCAAGCAATTGAAGAAAACAATAGGCTTAGAAGATCATAAAAAAATGATTGAGAAATAGAGCACTTAAAAGCTATGGCTAAACTTTTTACCATCCAGTCATAAACTTCTTTGAGACCCAACTTTGGAGAACAAAGCAGCAAGCCTGAAAATGGTCAGACATGAATATTAACGTAGAACAAGATGCTACTTAGATTGTTACATTTGACATAACAAAAATTGGGTATTCCCTGCAAATGATAGATGGAACTTTGAATTGCAAAAATTTCCACTATCATCTGACTGGAGCTCACATGGAACCCATGTGAATCCCATTGTTGAGAATCCCACATTGAAACTACAGTAGGTTCCTTAAGCTGGGTTCATGCAACATGTTTTTGAACTAAACTTCCTAACTATAACAAAATTAATGGCCCTTTTGGATGGAATCATTCAATATGACAGAACTAAATTTGAATTTTTAAAAGATCTTGCCTATTGGACTTCATAAGTACAAATTTCTTATGCTGAAAAAGTCCATTCCATACATATATTTCACTACTTAAGAAAATACGAGATTTCAAATACTCAAAACCAGAAGTGTTTAAATAAAGAATGGTAGCAAAGGACCCACTAATGTAGTGGTTTGGAGCAAGTACTCCCCCCAGAAAAGGTCCTGGGTTCAAGTCCTAGCATCTGTGTAGTGTGTGTGAGTTTAGTTTACTATCGCCCCTCTCAATAGGAAGGGTCCTAAAAATAATAAAAAATAATGAAAGGTATATATATATATATATTTCATTAAAAGAAAGAAGAATAAAACCCAAATCAAAATCCATCGGATAAATGAAGGATATGGATCTAAGGACTTAGTCTAAATTGTTTAACAAATTTTTTGTTCTAAAACTAATGTTTATATTTGATAATTCAAGAAATAGAAGGATTCCAAATACTCATGAGAAAATATAATTTCAAATCACCCTTTCTCCTAAATAATCCATGTGTGTGTGGAATTAATTAATCCAATAAATAGATATTTTTAAAGTCCAATTAAGTAAATCATCTGATCCAAATAAACACTAATCTTCGTGATTCCTTGATTGACGCAATCAATTATGTGGTGCAAAACCAAATATCTCCCCAAAATCACATTGCCAAACCCTAGATAAAAGTTTTCATGGATTGACAGTAAAAGAAAGTCATGGATTGAAAAGAAGTTGCTTTTTGGCCATTTCTCAAAACACAAAAGTGAAAATAAGTACATAAACTCCTATTGAAAATGTTTTTTTTTAAATAAAAATAAATCATACTAATAAAGTGCATAAGCACTGAACAGGAAATGCAAAGTCGTTATCTGCCCAATTTGGCCAACCATTAATTTACCTAAACTCAGACATATTTAAACCAGACCTTGCATGCAATATCTAATATTTAGATCCGTACATTTTAAAGGGAAAAGAATGGAGGGCGGAGATTGAGCCAGACCTTACGAGTAGAGGAATTGGGGGAGCTTGGAGGAGACTTGGCTGGATCTTCGGGATCCAGAATACCATTCTCAGCCTGACTCAGAGGAACCGACGATGACTCTTTTTCTTCGGCCATTTTGTCTCAGTTTGCTGAGGGCTCTTGAGAGAGAGAGAGAGATTTGGCTTAGAATTCGGGAGAAGGAATTGACTGTGATTTAGGTGGGAGTGATGATGATGTCGAGGGAAATTAGTTGGCTATTTGCTTGTGTGCTTGTTTTTTCCCTTTTTTTTATCCCTTGAATATTTGGATTTGTGAAATTTTTTATTTTTTTGTTGGTCAGGTTTGGATTTGTGTTTGTTTGGATGTAGTTGAGCATACTTGATGTTAAAGCAACTTCTATAGAACCAAATGAAGAAATGCCATGTGGCATGTGGGATTGACTCTTTTTCATTTTTCAATTTTTTTTCCTTCCGAAAGTATTGGCTCGCTCTCGATACATTTTTGAATTTCAATTTAAACTCCGCACTTCTTTTTGTTTACCCCAATACTTAAATCATTAAGTTGTTAAGTTTATTATTTGTAAAAAGACAAGAAAGGTCATTCAATTTAATACTTAACCCTAGTACATCTATACACACACCCCACACACCCCATCACTCTTCATATTAAGTTTTAGAAAAATACAAACTCATCTACATCCTATTGTCATATTACTCTTATCTTTTAAAGATGTAAAACGTTGAGAAGCCTACCTCTTTAAAAGCTGTGTGGGAGCTTATGGAAAGGACTGTTGATTGCTTGGCTATAATGATCTTATTCTCTTCCCTTTATTTTATATATCCAACTTTTCAGTTGTTGCTTTATGAAGATCATGACTCATGAGTACTACGCTTTTGTTTCCTGGCAGGATTATGATAGTCTACTTTCGAGTACACAACCAACTATCCATTTAAAGCTTATGGATTTTCAAAATGAACTTGTGGGGTTACAAGTTTGATGATATGACCCAACCCAAATTCTACTTTGGAATCTGTGTCAAACCCTATGTGTGTCCTACACCTGGCAGGTGTCAGGCATAAATGTCCAGAATACCCCTCTTGCCCTGAACCGCAAAACAAAAAACACACTTAATGGTTTAACTTCTGCTGGAAAACCGGCAGACTTTCCCCTGAAAAACTGACATTTCCCTTAAAATTTTCCACCTGTAAAAATATATACAGTTAAAATTGAAATTCAAATCCCAATCGTTCAGCATGCATTAGACAAATAACTTTAAATAATTTCAGACCTCTTTATACCAAATAAATCATTATGCCATCTGAATCTGGTTACAACTCTTAGAACAACATGAATACGTTATCAAGTTCCAATATAACTCAATTGAACAAATTTTCAACACTTGATCTTGTGGTTGCACCTAGTAACTATAGGTTGCCTATGTACCCTTACTAAAGGATCAAGCCATTGTAGTTCTTTTTACATAAATTATAAGTAAACATAGGTAACTTAATCAAATAAAATCGAGAAACCTTCATAAGTAATTCAAATCAATCTGCTGAAACTCAAGCAAGGGCTATTGATTTCAAAACAATCTTCCACTCCTCTCACATGTGCATAAATAAATAAATAAATATATATATATATATATATAAAGAAAAAGGCAAAGTGACAGGACTCGCCCCGGATTTCCTTGGAAACCGGGACGAATCCCGCCTTAATATCGACATCACCCCGATGTTGGGCCCACTTACTAAGAAACAAGACTTCCTACCAAAAATTTGGCAATCTCCCCTGCAAATTTGAACATTTCCCAAATTCAACTTGCTCAAAATTCACAATTTAACAGTCCCAACTAGCAGCATGCTTTAAAGCAAATAAACATTTTACAACAAAGGCCTCCGGCCTCACAAATCAACCCTATGCGGGCGATAACAGAGCATGTCTAAGAATTTCAGTTACAACAAAAACAAAGTTCAACTGGAATAAAGTGAAGAAAGAGTTCCTACGAAGGCTCAAGATTCGGAAGCACACGATCTGACTCAGCTGCGGAGCTTAGTCAACTACTGGCTGGGGGGCGCAAAACAGAGAATTGTGAGTGGACAAAAATAAAGTTCAGTTCAGTAAAAAACCAACATAATATAACCCCACCGTTTAGGAAAACATGCTAGAAAATCCAAATGCATCTCAAAACCATCATAACCAAGTATAAATATGTATCAAATCAAATCAAGTACCGGATGCCAAGTCCGAAATCCATAAATAACACTTCACAAACCCACCATTCAAAACTTATAAATCCCACAACTAACCTCTCGAAAGCGTACCCATTGGCACGATCGGCAAGGAAGTATCCTCACCGAGAAACAAGAACGAATGAGTAGTTATATATATACATACATAATAATATAATATACTAAGATATATATATATATATATATATATCATATAATATAACCAACACCTGGTTGTACCGGGGAAACAATCCAACTGGGGGATTGTTTGACTAGTCCACATGGCAAAGCAATTCCTCAATTCACCATGTGGCTAAGGAACGAGCCGTCCAACTAGGGGACTAACTCTCAGCCAGCATGTACAGCCGAGACACTCAAAGCTCGTACGTCTGTGACCAGTCCTACGTGCGCAGACTACCCCGTCAAGGGTCTACAGCAACATCCAATCAAGGATGCCCCGGGTTCTGACAATTCCAAGTATCTCAAGTTTCCGTATCCAAGTTCCAAAACCGGGGGAGGTACATAGGGTAGTGCTTATAGCACTCCAAAATGACATTCTATACTCAAACTTTTCCACAATCTCAACTTAACAACCCAAGTACCCCACACATAGACAATATAGATAGAAATTCTCAAATTCCATACATACATACTCAAGATACTCAAATATGTCAAAACCTAAAATATAATGTCAAAGCTTTATAAGAACACCAAATTCAACAATCAAATATATAATATATCCAGTATACCATTTAAAACAATATGCAATATTTTCCATCAATAAAACCATGCTTAAGATTTGAAAACAAAGTCCACTCACAAGTAGTCCCACACTGCTTGACCCTGAGAGGGTCCCTCTTGCTGCGTATGCGTGGTCGGAGTACCTATTTCAAAATACGAATACAAGATTAACACCAAGCATTTCGAAAGAGAACTTTAAATTAAAATCCTAGTTTACCGGGTTTCTAGTGCGTGCACGAGGAACAAGACAAACTGAAAGTTCCTAAGGGTTCCACAAGGTTTAGGATACACGTCCTACAAGTTTGGTCTAAAACGGACGGTTAGATTGCTCACGATCGGACGGTTGTCACAAAAAGCAAACTTTAGGTTATTGAATCGGAACATCCGGGGCTCCGATTCAGGATCCGCGAATTTCTACACGATCCTAGGAAGGTCTAGAGTAACATATATTGGAATGGAGTCGATCCAACGGTCCGAACCTATCGAACCTGGATAACGCACAATATGCGATATCCGATCGATGATCAAATGATTACCAAATTGAAATTCGAGAATACCGTTAAACTTGGAACAACACAAGGATCATTTTAAAACAAAATGACAGACCGACATTGTTCCCACGCACCACCCAACGCGCCAGCAGCGCATGGGTGCCCAAAGAGAATTTTGGCGGCCGGAAAAACTCCAAACCGCAGGCCAAGACTTCCAGGTTAGGTGAATCACATGCAATGGAGCAACTTTTGTTCTTGGACCTACCCCAAAAAGTTGACGGAAGTGGCCGGAATCGGAGTCTGAAACCGGTCAAAACTTCCATCGCTTGGAAACGTTTCAAAACTCAGAAATTGATCCTAAATACCACAACCAGCAGCTAGAGCATGTTGAAAGGATAGAAATGCATACCAAGTTCGAAGAATTTGGTTTCCGGAATCAGCTAAACGAGCTCCTTCAATTTATGGGTAAAACCGGCAACTCTTATGCAATTTCCGGCTACTACGGGCAGTGGTGGCGGCGGTGAAGGGTCGGGATAGGAAGAGGGAAGTGAACTTGATGTTTTGGTACCAATATCACAAAGTTTGGTGGCCGGTGGAGGAAATGACGGAGGAAAAACCATGCAGATGAACAATAACCAAAGGGGGCTGTTTCTGCGCGCAGGGAGCAAGATCTTAAATATCGATAGTTTTGGAAATATCGGTGGTTCAAAAACACGGAAATATCGATGGAAATATCAGGAAAATATCGATATCGATAAAAATTGAATAAAAACCACGGAAATTGTCATAAATACATGGAAATTTTTAATGAAACTTTAGAAGAAGTTTATTTAGTCAATCATCTATTATTTTGACACAAAAAATTGGAAGGAAATGCATTGCATAGTGGGTTTGAGTGATTTAAGTTGATTATATTGCGAGCTGACAAACTCTGTGACTTAGAAAATTTAGAGTAATTAATGAAAGAGAATTAAACACCCCCTAGTAATTTATTTATCATTTTTTAGTACAATATTTTACACTTTATAAATTGCAATGTAAGATACATGAGTAACCTTATTTCACAAACGTCATTGGACATGGTATACGTTCTTATATTTATTAATTATCAAAAATTGAAAAATAATTAAAGATGTAAACCAACTTGATTTTTCATGAAAATGAGGCACTTTACCATGCTTAAAAAATAATAGTGAAGATTGAAAATTAACTATGAACATAAATAAATTTATCCAAGGAAGAATTAAATAGTAAATAAAGAAAATAATTATAAAGATTTAAGTAATTAAGCAACAATTTGAAGGGGAATTTAGTAATGTAAGTACTTATAATGAATAATAAAATAATCAATAACATTAAATGGATTAAATAGAAAAGAAATAAATTATATTAAGTAATTAAGTAACTGAACAACAAAATAAAACAATAAGTAATTATGTTAATTTCAATTTTGAGAAACAGCTCACAAGTATTATAAATACAGATTCCATAGCTTATTATCACAAAGTAGCAGCCCTTGCCTTGCCCTTGCCTTAGCCTTAGCTTTTTGGGGTGAACACGCTCTTATACATAAATATTTGTCCTATGAATAAAATTGACAATGAAAGATAGGGGAAAAGAAGCTTATTGGTGACCCATAGGGCCCATAGAGGATCATCGCTTTGGGCTTTGCTTGACAAGAAAGCAGCATAAACAAAAGGAAATGGAAGAAATTCCAAGCAGTCAACTAAAAAAACCAGAAAAACCTCGAAAATCAATCTCAATGATAAACAACAGTGAGTGGAAGTCTCTCTCTCAACTCAAAATGGACGATGGCGACGTTTTGAAGGCAGCATGGCGTTGTTGTACGTTGCAATTCTCTATGCCCCGACACTAATCCTTCGTCTTCCTCCTCCCCCTTCCTTCAAGAACTTCATGATCCGACGGTTCATATGCGCCGCTATTTCTTCCGTCGTCTCTGTTGTCATCTCTGCTCTTCTCCTCCCTGTAAGCTCCACTTCTTCCCTACCTCATTTTCGCTTTAATTTCTCATCGTCAACTGATCCAGTATGGATCTTCAAGTTCTTTGATTGTTGGGTTTGAACAATGGCTGCCCAGCTCTGTAACTAAGCTCTGAAAGTTCATATCGCGATATTATCGATACTATCGCGATATATTGACCATTTCATATTGAATTTGAACGAAAATATTGGTCCCGATATTTTGGCGATATTATTGAGGATATTATCGATAAATTGACGAAATATAAATGGAATGTTGCGAAAATATCGAGACAAAAAAAAATTGATATTATCGCCGAAATATCGGCGATAATATCGAAATTTAATTCCTTGGCAGGGAGAAAGAGAGGGAGAGAGAGTGAGAAAGAGAGGGAATTTCCAGATTTATTGAAAACCAACTTCAAGAAAATTACGGTTATGCCACTGAACTTGTTTTGATCGTAACACCTTCGTTTCAATTCCGAATCGAGCCCACTACGTGTCTACGGACTCATCTTAGTAAAATCTATCCAAAAATACCAGTCACAGCCCCAAACTCTTCCCGGTTAAGAAATGACCGAAATACCCCTACCCTAAGGGTAATTTCATAAATTCACAATTAATAGAATTAAATACTTTGAATAAGGAATTTAATTTGGAGTCGGGGTGTTACACAGAGAATGGTAAAACATTCAAAATACTAGAGAATGCCCTTGGTTAATACAAACATTAAGAATTAAAATTATTAATTAAATGAGGATAATATGGTAAATTTAAAATTTTTTATATTAAAAAAATTAAAATTAAAAGAAAAATCAAATAATGGATCTTATATGGAACACAACTACCCATTATCTTTTTTAATTATAAAATAAATTTTTTTTTTTTTTTTTTTTTTTTTTAAAAAAAACCTCTCGCAAGCGCGAAAGTGCATGCGGAAAGGCTAGTATATATATAATTAACTTATTACTTATAAGTAGGAAAACGATAAAATTATTAAAATAGCATTGACCACATGAAACCTTAATGTCAATTATGACAATCGTACTAAAATATGTTTCCCCATTTGACATATAAAAACAAATTCATTACTTCAGAAAATAATTGTGAACTATATAAAATCCTTAAAACTTAGAATACTCTCAATCCTTGTCTCATAAGTTGGAAAACATATATTAAAACCTTCACCAATAAATACCAAAATAAAATCATCAATTTTAGTTCAAAACATCTCAAAACTCAAATACTCTCCACCTAGGCATACCCCCATTCACGATCCGTCAATTCCACTAATATTCTGTCAATACCAATAATATTCCGTCAATTTCAAGTGTCACATAAGCGACACATCCTCGCAGGCCTCAGAAACACAAAGTCAACTAGAGCCGCATTCCTAACAGAACTCAAGAGACATGTAGTCAGCCAAAGAATACACATCCTCGCAGAACTCGGGGGACATATAGTCAGCCCAAGAACGCATATCCTCACACCACAAGGTTCAAGCATTCTCGAAACTCGTGGGGGCATTGTCATAAATGACATAATTGTTTAGAAGGCAACTGGGGATTACTCCTGTGGTGGGTTTGAAAACCATATTCCGAAACTTATCATAAATTTTTCCTTATTTCACAAATCCATTTTCCAAATCTTTTATCAACTTTCCAAAATAATCAGTTCTCAACTACATTTATATAATCCAATATCACTAAGTCATATACTTTAATAATAATCAAAATAATAAAATAAATAATGTAAAAATATTAACCCTTAGTGATCCCATATCCTTATTAACCCAAATTAAATAATTTTTTTAATCAAAACTCACTTATGCAAGAAATTCCATATTAAAAGAGCGAAGTACACTTAAAAACAAACATCCACTCATTCCCTAATAAATATAGCCGAGACCCACGATTCACATTCACAACCCACCAATCAAGTATTCCATGCTCATCTATTCCATAACTTCAATTATCAAAATAATATCCAAGAATTTCATAAGATACTATAAAACAATCTCATAATTCCAACATAATCAAAATAACTCAAATAACAGTCGAGACTTGTTTATAAGGTCGTTCTAGTACTTCTTGAAGGGTGGAAGTACCCCGGAAGATTCACGGTCAACCGAGGGGTAAAACTGCCCAAACTTGGTCAATTGGGCCCGCGGGGCCCACGACCACTGATTTCTGATCCGAGAGTTCCAACGGGTTCAACAAGGTCTACTATACGTGTCCTTCAAGTTTGGTCTGAAACAAACGGTTGAATCGCTCACGATCAGACGGTTATCATTTAACGCAACTTTTAAGTCATTGAATCGGAGCATCCGAGACTCCGATTCACAATCCGCAAATTCCTACACGATCCTAGAGATGCTTAGATCAACATATATGAAAATGGAGTCGATCTAAAGGTCTGAACATATCGAACCCGGATAATGCCCAATATGCGATATCCGATTGACAGACAAGCGATAATCAAATTCAAATCCGAGCATACTGTTGTGCTCAAGAAGACATGGGGATCATTTTAGGACTCAAAGACTAACCATGAAGTGGCCAAGGACCTACCACACTTGTTGGCAGCTTGTGGGTGTCCATAGCAATTTCGACAAGCGGAAAATCTTCAAACCGCCGGTCAAGACCTATACCCACACAATCAGAACAATGAGTGGAGCAACTTTTGTTCTTGGACCATGGCTAAAAAGTGATCGGAACTTGCCAAAAATACGAGCCGAAATGGGTTGAAACTTTAAGTGATAGTTTGAGTTTCAAACATAAATTGATCCTAATCAACCCAACCATCAGCTATAACACATTTGAGATGATGGAAAAGCATACTTAGATTGATGAAAATGGTGGCTGGAATCGCCCGAACGAACTCCTGGAAGTTTTGGGTAAAATTGGCGACTTTTCTCGATATTCCGACGAGCATAGGCAGCTAGGAAGGGTCGGGATGGGTAGGCAACGTCGCGTTGGTTCTTTTGGTATCGCCCTTGTGGTCGGGGGTGGTCTGACATGATAGGGGTGGGCCAAAAAGCCACATAATGAATAGTAACAGCAAGGGGGGGCTGTTTTGCACGAAGAGGGAGAGGGAGAAAGAGAAGAAAAATCTGGGTTTTTAAAAACTGATCTTCGAAATATTTACTGTTATGCCACTGGGCTTCCGTAGATCATAACTTCTTCGTTACAACTCTGATTTGAGCCCACTACGTGTCTACGGACTCATCTTGATGTGCTCTACGCAAAATACTACTAAAATCCCCAAATTCTTTCCCGAACAAAAAGTCAACTTTTAAACCCATTTAAATATTATCGGGATAAAATTGTCTTTTACTAGAATAATTTATTAATTAAATAATAATTTAGGATCGGTTTATTATATTTGACTTGTCTTGTTCTAGTTTCAATCTTATTTTTCTATTTTCATTGGAATTTCGTTAAGGTTCATGTGTCATTAGTTGGGTTTGAGAAAATCTCTTGGAATTCTAATGTGGTTTATAGCCGAAATGGGACTTATGGGCTATTTTTATTTTTTATTTAAAAATTTATATTTACTTGACTTCTTATATGCTCAAAAGTAAACAGTAGATGATTACTGTACCTTTGTGTAAGTGAAATTTGTTCTTGCTGTGGTAATTAAGTTGCACCTTCTTGTCTAAAATGCAAATAAATATCTCCTTGTTGTGAAACTAGGGAATTTGTAAGGAGAGATAAGAGGAAGAAAGAGGCAGTATAATTTGCTCAAATCAACTTGTATTCCATTCATATTTGGATCCACTATTTATAGGGGTAGAGAGTCCTAAATCATTTACCAACCATAATTGGTAGGTTACAAGTATATAATGATGGATATTATGATAGGTTAATAGTAGTGGCTATTATTGTGGGCATCCATAACCTACCCATAATGTATGGATTTATAACACTCCCCATTGGATGTCCACCATATGTTGACATCATGTTGGACGTGTTAAATGTTGTCTCGTTAAAAACCTTGTCAGGAAAAACCACATGGGATAAAAACCTTATCGAAGGAAAAAAGAGTACATTGCACATACATCTGATGTAGTAAAACTGAGGAGTTTCCTTGATTGATATCTCCCCCTGATCTTCAGCAGTCTGATTTCTTGTAAATTCGTCGCATCCCTATACCATATACCAACTTCAGAAATATAGACTTCAGAAGAGCTTTGGTGAAGAGGTCTACTAGGTTATCTTGGGAACGAATTTGCTTGACTTCAATCGCTTAATTCTTCTGAAGCTCATGTGGGTAGAAGAACTTTGGTGGTATATTTTTGGTTCTATCACCCTTGATAAACCCTTCTTTAATTTGAGCTATACAAGCAGCATTGTCTTCATACATGATTGTCGGAGGTTTTGTTATTGAAGAAAGATCACATGTTTTCCGAATATGATGAACTAGGGATCTTAACCAAACACATTCTCTATTGGCCTCATGGAACGCAAGAATTTCTGCATGATTAGAAGAGGTAGCAACCATAGTTTGTTTTGTAGATCACCATGAGATCGCTGTGTTCCCACAAGTAAACACATAACCAGTTTGGGAGCGACCCTTATGTGGATCAGAGAGATACCCAGAATCCGCGTATCCAACAAGATTTGGACCGTTGGAAGGTTCAATCGAATAAAACAGCCCCATATTAGTTGTTTCGCAAAGGTAGTGCAAGATATGCTTTATACCATTCCAGTGTCTACGTGTTGGAGCTGAGCTATACCTGGCTAATAAATTTACTGAAAATCCAATATCTGGCCTAGTACATTGGGCTAAATATAATAAAGCACCTATCGCACTAAGATATGGTACTTCGGGACCAAGTATCATTTCATCATCCTCTTTAGGACGGAATGGATCTTTATTTGTGTCTAATGGACGAACTACCATTGGAGTGCTCAACGAGTGAGCATTATCCATATAAAATCGCTTCAAAAAAATTTCAGTGTAAGCTAATTGATGGACAAGAATACCATTGGGATGATGCTCGATCTGCAAGCCCAAACAATATTTAGTTTTTCCAAGGTCTTTCATCTCAAATTCACACTTTAAATATTCAGCAGTTTTAATGATCTCTTCAAGAGTTCCAATTAAGTTCATGTCATCAACATACACTACTACGATTGCAAATCCAATATGGGATCATTGATGTAGCCTTCCTGAATCAAATATTCACTAAGACGGTTATACCACATTCGTCCGGATTGTTTCAACCCATTTAGTGAATGTCTTAGCTTAATGGAGTACATGTTTCATGATTTAGTGTTTGATTCTGCCAACTTGAGTCCTTCTAGGACTTTCATATAAATACTGGCATCTAACTCCCCATATAAGTATGCAGTAACAACGTCCATAAGACGCATGTCAAGTTTTTTTGAAACTGCTAGACTTATTAAATAATGGAAAGTAATTGCATCCATAACAGGAGAATATGTTTCTTCATAATCAATCCCAGGCCTTTGAGAAAAGCCTTGTGCAACGAGTCTTGCCTTATACCTTGCAATCTCATTTTTCTCACTACGCTTTCTTGTGAACACCCATTTATATCCCACAGGTTTTACACCTTGTGGTGTTTGAACCACAGGTCCAAATACACCACGTTTTTCCAAGGAATTTAACTCAACTTGGATTGCGTCTTTCCACTTTGGCCAATCAGGCCTTTCTTTGCATTCATCAACAGATCGTGGTTCAATATCTTTATGACCTTTTATAATTACAGCAGCTACTGCGAAAGAAAAAAATATCATTGATAACCATTTCACTACGGTCCTACAATTCATCATTTCAGTATTAGATATCTTTTCCTCTTCAGTGGCTTGTGTATTTTCAATGACACTTTCACTTTCTGGATGAATTGTAGGTTCAAGGTCAATCTCTTTCCCAATAATATCTTCATAAGCGTTTTCATTGGGGTTGGAATATGCTATCGATTTTCGCTTTCTAGGAGTTGAGTCCTTTGAACCAATGGGTCTACCTCGCTTCAGGCGTGCAATAGATGATTCATTTGCTGCGACATTAGTTAATATGATTGGGATATCAATCCTTGCTGGTGTATTTGCTGCACGTATATGTGATGGTATGGGCCTTTTTCTTCCAGCAGCTCTAAATGGGCTGGGCTGCCATAAAAGGCAGATTGATGAAATTGTCCCCTTTGTCTGAGTTTGAAAATCAAGCCCCAAAAATGCTTCAAAATGGCAGTAGAGCCTTAGGAAGCATCTTGGTTATCTTCACCAAGCAAAATAACAGCAACTTACAGATGATTTCTTGATGCTTACAGATAAATTTTCTAACTTAGCATGAGAGGCTTGTGGCATGGAAGCAAAATCAGCATGAGTTTAGCACCAAAGAGGAAAATATGGCTTCCTAGGGAGAAAGGGGAGTGTTAAGGTGAGGAAGAAAAGGTTTGCAAGAAGATTTGGCTAAAAAGAGAGAAAGAAAGAACAATGTTCTTCCGGCAGCTTAACAGAAATTCTGTCAGATATGAAAGTAGTCTGCCAGAAGAGGAAAATGGAGAAGAAAGGTGAATAGTGCACGAGATTGCTGGGTTATTGCAGGGAAGAGAGGAAGCTTGCTCTTCATATGCGAGTTGGTCCTGTTGGGTAGAAGAGGCCTCATTTTATAGCTGCTGGGAATCATCCTTTCCCAAGAAACCCTAATGGTTTCAACCCAATTTAGCCAAAACTTTTCCCTTCCTTTCTCCTCTACTCCCTTGACCATTCCTATCTTGGTGAAATTTCCTTTGCTTATTTGCACAAAATCAGGACTTTTGGGGATCTGGTGAAGGAAAGGAAGTGGATATACATCTTGTTCAAAGGGTGCTTCTGGCAACTCGCAGACTATTATCTCTTGGTTCCTTGAATGTTTCTTGCTTGGAACTTGCTCCCCCCATGTGCCTTGGAACCTCCAACAGGGGAAAAAAAAAAAAAAAAAAAAAAAAAAAAAAAAAAAAAAAAAAAAAAAAAAAAAAAAAAAAAAAAAAAAAAAAAAAAAAAAAAAAAAAAAAAAAAAAAAAAAAAAAAAAAAAAAAAAAAAAAAAAAAAAAAAAAAAAAAAAAAAAAAAAAAAAAAAAAAAAAAAAAAAAAAAAAAAAAAAAAAAAAAAAAAAAAAAAAAAAAAAAAAAAAAAAAAAAAAAAAAAAAAAAAAAAAAAAAAAAAAAAAAAAAAAAAAAAAAAAAAAAAAAAAAAAAAAAAAAAAAAAAAAAAAAAAAAAAAAAAAAAAAAAAAAAAAAAAAAAAAAAAAAAAAAAAAAAAAAAAAAAAAAAAAAAAAAAAAAAAAAAAAAAAAAAAAAAAAAAAAAAAAAATTTAAAATATAAATGTAAATAATATTATAAATTATTTTTTATAAATAAATTTAATTTAATAAATGAACTTCAAACGGATCGGTCCGTAATGGACTACAGAGTAGACCGGCCGACCTATTGAACTTATTAAAAATACGACTGTGTCGTGCCGAGTTTTTTTTAAGCGGCCGTGCCGGAGCCGGCCCTGTCTGACTGACACTTCTACTTGGAACTGCATCATACACATCCATGGGTTCTGATATTTTTTAAAGACGAGGTGGTGTACGGCGGACAGCACCCCGGTGGCAAGACAGGAAGTGTGGTTTGAGGAGAGAATAAGAAAATACGTGAGAAACTGAAATCCTGGGTCAATACGGCTCAACATTTTATATTATGTGGGGAAGAGAGACCGGATAAGGATAGGTGAATTCCAATTTCCTAATCAGAGGAGGCAAAAGATTGCACAAATACGATCTCTGTTTGGAAAGTGTTCTTCGTTGTTTTTTTACACATCTATTTTCTAACCTATTTTCGAATGTTTTGTCTTTGTGTTATTTAAATCTGTGAATTCCTAAATCTGCCTGTTTGGAAAGCGCGTCGGTTTCATCCCAACCCTAGCACCTTGAGCCGCCCAAGTTGGTTTATGTAAATCTGCCTGTTTCGACCACCAAGTTGCCCCAGAGAACCCACTTCCAATTGCTTATGAAGATTGCTGGGCTGCTCTTCAATGGGTTGCTGATGCTTTGAACAACTTTTCATAAAATTAGGTATGTTTGGCTCATCGTATTGTATTGATGTTTTGGAGTTGGACTCCTTTTTCATATTAGATTGTCTCAATTCCTCTTCTTTCACGGAATATAAAAAGTAAGGAAAGCCCGTCCTATATATTTCTCTCTCTCCTCTCCTCCTGCCCAATCTCTCAAACTTTCCTTTCTCTCTTTCCCCGTGTCGTCCCCTTGTATTGAACGCACGGCGAACTGTCAGCTCCGGCCGTTTACAGTGGTCTCGGAAGTAGCCGCACTGTCCACACGAAGCTCGAAGCTCACACAGAGCCTTTCTTTCGGAAGACTAATCAGTCCCTTTCTCTCTCAGCCAAACAAAAGAAAAAATGGGGAGCGAGAGCAATCTGAATACATGGGTATCCGATAAGTTGATGACGTTGCTCGGATATTCTCAGCCCACTGTTGTTCAGTACATTATTGGGTTAACCAAACAGGCAAAATCACCGGCTGATGTTGTGGGCAAGCTTGTAGAATTAGAATTTGGGTTGTCATCTTCGGCCGAAACAAGTGCATTTGCTGAAGACATCTTTGCAAGAGTGCCTCGTAAAGAATCTGGTTTGAATCTATATCAGAAACAAGAGAGGGAAGCTGCCATGTTGGTGAAGAAGCAGAAGACATATTCTCTCTTGGATGCAGATGATGAAGATGACAATGATGGCGATACATCTTCTGCCCAGGTTGTTTCCAAGTCCAGGAAAGCTGATTCCCATAAGAAACGATTCAGGAAGAAGGTCTTGAGTCGAGAAGATGAAGATGATGAGGTGATTGCACAAGAGGCACAAGTGAGACGAGTTAAAAGACGAACTTCTTCCCCAGATGACGATGATGATTCAGAGTCAGAAGAGGAAAGATTGCGTGATCAAAGAGAGAGGGAGCAATTGGAGCAGAATATAAGGGAACGGGATACAGCAGCTACACGAAAGTTAACGGAGAGAAAATTAACACGAAAGGAAGAGGAGGAGGCTATTCGGAGAAGCAATGCATTGGAGCGGAATGACCTTGAAGATTTAAGAAAGTTTCAAGACAAGAGTATCTCAAAAAGAGGGAGCAAAAGAAATTGGAGGAAATCAGAGACGATATAGAGGATGAACAATACTTATTTGATGGCGTGAAGCTCACTGAAGCAGAATATAGTGAACTAAGCTACAAGAAACAATATACGAGCTGGTGAAGAAGAGGTCAGATGAGGGTGAGGATACCACTGAGTACAGGATGCCAGATGCGTATGATGAGGAGGGTGGTGTTAATCAGGAAAAGAGATTTTCTGTGGCTGTGCAACGGTACAGGGACCTCAGTGCTGGGGATAAAATGAACCCATTTGCAGAACAGGAAGCTTGGGAGGATCACCAAATTGGAAAAGCAACGCTGAAATTGGTTCAAAAACCAAAAAACAAATATCTGATGAGTATCAATTTGTATTTGAGGATCAGATTGATTTTATCAAGGCATCAGTGATGGATGGTGATGAGTTTGATGATGATGGGCAACCCTCTGAGTTACTTGGGTCGAAGGCGAAATTGGGCTTAGAGAAGCTCCAGGATGACAGAAAAACACTACCCATCTACACCTACCGTGATAAATTGCTTGAAGCTGTTGAAAATCATCAGGTTCTGGTTATTGTTGGTGAAACTGGTTCTGGAAAAACTACACAGATACCCCAATATCTTCACGAGGCTGGATACACAAAGCGTGGAAAGATTGGGTGCACACAGCCACGGCGAGTTGCTGCTATGAGTGTTGCTGCAAGGGTTTCTCAAGAAATGGGGGTCAAACTTGGGCACGAGGTTGGTTATTCTATTCGTTTTGAGGATTGCACATCCGAAAAGACTGTTTTGAAATATATGACAGATGGAATGTTGTTGCGAGAATTCCTTGGTGAACCAGATCTGGCGAGTTACAGTGTGGTGATGGTGGACGAGGCCCATGAACGAACACTCTCAACTGATATTCTATTTGGACTAGTGAAGGATATTGCTCGATTTAGACCGGATCTCAAACTGCTTATCTCAAGTGCAACGCTTGATGCTGAGAAGTTCAGTGATTATTTTGATTCTGCTCCAATTTTCAAAATTCCAGGGAGGCGGTATCCTGTTGATATCCATTACACAAAAGCACCAGAAGCCGATTACTTAGATGCAGCAATTGTCACTGCACTTCAAATCCATGTGACGCAACCACCTGGAGATATATTGGTATTCCTCACTGGTCAGGAAGAGATTGAAACAGCAGAAGAAATATTGAAGCACAGAACAAGGGGCCTAGGGACAAAAATTGCTGAGCTGATTATTTGCCCCATATATGCAAACCTACCTACTGAGCTGCAAGCAAAAATTTTTGAAGCCACACCTGATGGGGCAAGGAAGGTTGTCCTTGCCACAAATATAGCTGAAACTTCGTTGACCATTGATGGGATCAAATATGTTATTGACCCAGGGTTTTGCAAGATGAAGTCGTATAACCCAAGGACTGGAATGGAGTCATTGCTAGTTACTCCCATCTCAAGGGCATCAGCAATGCAGAGGGCAGGTCGATCTGGTCGAACAGGTCCTGGAAAGTGCTTCCGGTTATATACTGCCTACAATTATTACAATGATTTAGATGATAACACAGTACCAGAAGTACAAAGAACTAATCTTGCAAATGTTGTGCTTACGCTGAAGAGCCTTGGTATTCATGACTTATTGCATTTTGATTTTATGGACCCTCCGCCATCTGAAGCATTACTGAAAGCCCTGGAACTGTTATTTGCACTAAGTGCATTAAATAAAGTGGGTGAGTTGACTAAAGTCGGTAGAAGGATGGCGGAGTTTCCTCTTGATCCCATGCTATCTAAGATGATAGTTGCTTCTGATAAGTACAAGTGTTCAGATGAAGTCATTTCCGTTGCCGCCATGCTTTCCATTGGTAATTCCATCTTTTACCGTCCCAAGGACAAACAAGTCCATGCTGACAATGCACGTTTGAATTTTCACACCGGGAATGTGGGAGATCACATTGCATTGCTCAAGGTCTATAACTCATGGAAAGAGACCAACTTCTCAACCCAGTGGTGTTATGAAAACTATATACAGGTGAGGAGCATGAAGCGTGCTAGAGATATTAGAGACCAGCTTGAGGGACTCTTGGAGAGGGTTGAGATTGAGCTGGTCTCAAATCTCAGTGATTACGAGACCATAAAGAAGGCCATTACATCTGGCTTCTTCCCTCATTCCGCAAAGCTTCAAAAGAATGGATCTTATAGAACAGTCAAACATCCACAGACTGTTCATATACATCCCAGCTCAGGGCTGTCACAGGTGCTTCCGAGATGGGTTATATACCATGAATTGGTACTTACAACCAAGGAATATATGAGACAGGTAACAGAATTAAAGCCAGAGTGGTTAGTGGAAATAGCTCCTCATTATTACCAGCTGAAGGATGTTGAAGATTCGATGTCAAAGAAAATGCCCCGGGGAGAAGGGCGCCCACAGCAGGATTGAGAACTTGAAGATAGTTGTATATATCACTATCACTGGTGGTTTGTTGGGGATGGTAGAGCAAAAGAAAGCCTGTAAATACAATTTTGTGTACTAGAACAAAACTGCATTTTCAACTAGTTGACACACTAACAACTTGGGGCTTATAGACTGAATCTTTTTGCAGTAATTACAAGAGAATCTGAGGGTATTCTTTTCTTACCGTTACGTTATGGGTTTAGTCAACACACTAACGACTTGGAGTTAGGCAACTAAGGTGTATTCTGTATCTGACAAATCTGTACAAGAATAGACGTTCTTATGTTTTTTTGAATTTTATTTGAGTTCACAATAAATAAATAAAAATTATTCTTCTTTCACATGATATAACCCCAATTTCTGGAAGTGTCATTGCTAGTTTACTTCTCAAGCCTGGTTCTCTGAAAATGTTATACTTAAGTAAACCTCTTTTTTGGGTGTGACTATTATATTCAAACTGGTGTAACTATATTATATTGCAGTCGCTTATTGTAGATTTTCAAATTTAAATCTGAACAGTTTGAAGCTAGATTGCAGTTGATAGCCTTTGCCACATTGCTAAAACCTTGTCCTTATTAGTATTGATGCTTGGGGAAACTGGTATTGGAGCTGTAAGTGAACTCTATCATTTTTAGAACTTACTTTTGGAATTTGAAAGCCACTCGGCTTATTTCTCCAGCTGTTATTATTTAATTTTGTTCATCTATTTATTCTTTTGCAGGATGGGACATTAATATTAACTGAGTAACTGTTCAATGGGACTGAAGATCTTGTAAAACTTGACTTATCTTATTGCGGAGTGACATCTATTTATGTTCTCAAACTAAGCACTGGTTCATCTATGATTTGTGGCATTCTTGAGCTGAACCTTTCAGGAAATCCTATTATGCAAGAGGTTTGTTCTTTTGTCTTGGTATTTTGCTAATTCTTTTACCTGTTGTGTTTGTGACTTGCTTGCAACTCTGTATATTGCTGGAGAGAGCAAATAATTGTGATTTTTTTTTACAAAAGATAACGCTGGTTTCATAATTTGTGGTCATACCACCTTCTACCAGACATTGTTTTACATAATATGTTCAGGTTGCCAATGACGATATGTGTCTGAAAATGGGAATCATATGATAAGTATGGGAGTTGAACATAAAAATAGTCGATGTGTTTGTTTTATAGCTCCAATGCCTGTGAATTTAGTCTGCATACAGATGCATTTAAGTTGTCTCAATCAATAGCTGATCTAGTTAATGGAATTCAAAATTACATTTAGACGTGTTGCCCTGATATTCTTGAGGTTGTTTAATTGAAGCTACATCAGATTCTTAGTCCATTCCCCTCTCTCGTAGCCTTCCATTATGCATTATGTTTTTTGCACTTTCTCAGACCCACATATCAAATACACTGAAAGCACCGAAAAAAGACAGAAACAAAAAAAAACAAAACAAAAGAAGAGAGAAATATTTGGTAAGCATAGCCAATAAGAGAGGCATATCTTTCCTTTGAAGTACTCATGGCGTACCGATTCCTATTGGAATCCTTAAAGGACTAGGATTGGAAAGCCTTCAAGAGCCAGAAATACAACAGACGGGTCAATAAGACAAAGCAAGAGAGCAAATGCGACTTCAATTGCAAGCCAGGCCACTATTTAGAACAGACATGTTCACATTTGCATACTTGCCTCTTGTGAAAATATGCCCTTGCTTGTTCTTGAAGCCTCTAGTGGTCTACCTTTGCCTTCTAATACCACAAGTGAATTCTGCATGAAAGAGTGAACCCGAATGTAAAGGCTATGCATCGAATATATAAATATTCAACGATAAACTTGAACTGGCTGTTAAAAAGCCTGATTACTATGCAATGTTCCCTGCTCTCAATAGAATATTGTCGTTGCCATTTTGTCTTTTTGTTATTTTGACTTGAGAAAGAGCCTTCTGTTATGAGGGAGTTTCATGCTGAAATCCTACCCAACCAAGACTCTCTGCTTTGTACTTAGTTTTACTTGAGGATTTTGCTATACTAGCCTGACTCAAGTCCCTCAACTATGAACACAGGGTAGCAATGTGTTATCGTCAATGCTTTCAAATTCACATTGTTGTCTGAAAGCTTTGGTCCTTCAGAGGTGTGAGCTTGGAGTTGCTGGAGTTCTTCAAATCAGGTTCACACACTAGGCCAATTTAGTACTCAATATACTAGTCCTTAGAAATGAACTTATGAATTGTTGGTTTGATATTTTAAGCTGGTAATAGTTTTCTTGAGGAGCTCAATCTTGCTGATAATGCCAATCTTAGTATATCTGAATCTTCTCTGGCAGTATCGGTATCCAAGGAAGTTAATCCTGCTCAACAGGGTTCAGCAACTCGGCTTGAACTTGGTGATAGTGCAGATGATGAAGTTAGAGTTGAAGCTGCTGCATCTGGCATCGATGACAGCTGCGTAAGCATATGCCAAAGAAAATCCTTGTCTGCTGAGTTCCAGTTTATTTGCTTTCAACTGCCATTGGTATGGCGAATAATTTGCAATTTCTTGACCTTAGCAGTAATGTTTTTTTCACAGAAAGTGCAGAGGTATTGTATTCTGCATGGTCAAGATCAAGATATGGTTCAGCTCGGAAGCATATCAAGGACCAGACAATCCATTTGTTCTTAGAGGGAATGAAATGTTGTGTGAAACCCTGCTGCAGAAAGGATTAATTTTCTTGCTTTGCTGCTACAGTATCGTCATCCAAGGGAAATCACAAACAGTTTTGCCAAAGCAGCAGGACCTGGTTTGTTTCTTGCTTTCTTTGTTTTTCTTGGTTATTTTTTGTTCAACTCATAACTTATCAGACAATATTTTGATGATGCAAGCAAAAGCCTAATGGGTTTCTTCTTTTTATGCCTCAGAACAAAGTGTTTTTAAAAAATAAAAAAAAAATTAGTACAAGCAATAGGTGCCTAGGGGTTTCGAACTGAGCATGGCGCCTCACAACAAAGTTAAATTAGAGGGATAGGTGTCAAAATATTATCTAGGGGACCGAGGATACATAAAAAAATGGGGCTTATAGGATTTCAGCTCCTTTATCATTAAAAAAAATTAGGCTTATACAGCACAATCATCAATATGAACAACTGATGAAATTCTTACCATGTGAAATCCATTAGCCCCTCCGTTTTAAGGAAATCACCAAATTTTAGATTTCACACAACAGCACAGATAGAGGAATCGTGTTAGAAACAATATTAGGTGTCGCCTTTGATTGTAAAGTTGAGAAAGGAAAATTCTGTTAGGATTCATCAATTTACTTTTGGGACCCAACGGTTATTTTTGAATTTGAATTGTTCATTTTACCTCAATGTGAATTGATAATTACTCACAAAAAGCATTTCGAAAAAAAATATCAATTATTCTCACCAGATGCAATAGCTGTACCCTGAACCTACAAACAATCCGTATTACCCTTTTTCATCCAATCTTTACTCACTTCACTCTTGTTTTTGTTGTTCGAAAAAAGGCACTTCATTCAACCCATAAAGGGAACAACATGGTACAGCTTAAGCAAGATACAACACTAGAAAACAAGAAGACGTGCAGAGGAGTCATTCTATAGTGGGGTATTATATATGGCTCTTAGGTGAGGTTCTATTTCTTAACTATTGGACGAGACTTGATAATTTGATTCAGTCCAATGATTAAGAGATATAGCCTCACCTAAAGGCCGTATATAATGCCCTCACTATAAAATTCTTGCATGCAAGAGGATGAAACAACTAAACTCAAGCCAAAGTCTAGCAAGAGAAGAAACATCCTCACTCAAAAAAATATAAAAAGTAAAACAGAAGAAACATCCCAATCCAGAGCACATAAGCCCAGAGGCCCACTCCAAATACAATTAAAGCGCAAAACCAAACGAAAAGCCCCATCTAGAGCACTTGCATCGAAAAATATAGGGTTTTTCATTAATAGACTTATTTTAGTATGACATATTATACAATTACTCATATAGAGCCTATTTGGAGAGAAAATTTTAAAACTAACCACTTGTCATTTTCTAATTGGTTGTTAGTGCGTTAAAATTTTTCTAAAACCCAAAAAGAATCCACTGCAATTGTAGCCATTTATAATTAGCTGTGGGACCTTCAAGACACTCTACTCTACTTTGTTGTTATCAATGGCCACTAAAAACTCACTTGATCATATCAAGGGAATAACACTATTTATTGTGTCAAATCATGGGCCTCCCCTTGAATTGTGCAAAGCATAGTGTTATCTATTTGGCATTACATCACCTCCTAAAGTTGTTTAAAATAGATCAAGCTAATTTTAAACATTAAATTTGCAATCAAATGGGTTCATTATTCACCTTCTTTAAACGACAAACGTGGTAAAAGCAAAGCGTCTTAAGTTTGGAGGCTCATGATTAGAGATTAGTGACATTTTTATATGATGCATAATTCCTTGGATTGTTCTAATCCGATATCCATTTTTGACAGTAAATTTTGGCCCCCACATTTTTAGTGTTTGCCTAATTATTGTTATGCCCTGTAATGTCATTGAGTAACTTTTTCAGTCACAAGGGGGAAAAAAAAAGTTATTTTTTGAAGCTTTCGGCTTTTTAGTTTACTTTTTGGCATGAAACAGGGAACAAACTGCAGCTACTATTTTAGTGTGAGGCAGGATGATAGATAGAGCCTGAGATTTTAGTACGGGGTCCATGCTAATCTTTGTTTAGGACACCTTTTTTTTAAGGATAGTGTTGAGTGTGATTTGGCTTTATACCCACCTTGTAATTCGATTTATGATTTTTAATATAACTTCCTCATACAATCTAGGGATTTCGAACTTCTGTCTATATGAATGCAGGTCGACAAGTTTAACCAACCGAGTAATTATACCTGGCAATTTATAAATTAAGTAATACATTATATACATCCATGGTAATTATTTTCCATTGTTGAAGAAGCAATGAGCCAATAACATAACTTGAAATGAGGAGGACAATGATGAATTAATACACCACAAATCACAGTATACAGACAGACATCATCAAAATTCATAATAATACATATCAATGTATACACATGGATGGCCAAACAAAAAAAATCATCAAATCCCTCATGAATTCCAGATTTCAATAGAATCCAATGAAGCCACAAATTATAACACAACTCTAAATCATCAGCACACCCACATATGTATTATGGTGCTAACATTGAGTAGCCTTCTTTTCCTTTTTTTCGAGTATCTCTTTTGCTCTTGCACTTGTTATAATTTGCTATCCATTACGAAAATTCATTTTCTTATCCTTTAAATGATTGCACACCATAAGTAGAAAGATGATACCTATTCCTCGTATTTCCTCATTATATGTGAATTAAATTGGTTATAATTCGATATTGTTCATCAATACATGAGCATGCATCTGGTTACAAAGTAGACGATTATGGATTATTCCAAAACATTATTGAACAATCTGTCAATACACCCATGAAGAGAAATGACATTATAAGCTTATCTTTTGTTGCATATTATTCAACACTTAATTTTGAACCTTATAGGGCAGTGGTATTTCTCTCATTATTAAAAGAAAAGGAATCTTGATTTCCACTGAAAAATGTGTATAATGTTTTTATCTCGTTTTGTATTAAATAAGAAATACTAGAAATTTGAAGATGTCATGCATGTGAGGCAGCTATTGATGGGAGAAAAGAGAAAAATATGATAAGTGTACTATTTAAATGATAAGTTTATTTTCTTTAATTTTTTTAATTTAAATTATAAGTTTATCATCCTTTTACCTCATGATTCTAAATTATTGTTTCTCAACATGTTTACTAATCCGTAATCGGGTTAGGAGGAGTAGTCGAATTTGGATAGGAATTGTATTGATTCCTTATAAGTTGTTTACTAAATTCTCATTAGTTGGAATTAAAACTAGTTTGATTACTAAAATGCACTTGTTATAGATAAATTATTGGGTTCAAATGGATGATAAATTTGGAATTTTAAAATTTGTGTGATGATATAATAAGAAAAAAAGATGGATTTCTGATTTTGAATAACACTGACGACCCAAAAGAGTTCAATTCCTCCAAAATCATGAGTTAAATTCTGAATTTTATATGGACCCCGCTTACTTTTTCATTCCGCTATTTAAGGTAATAAAGGAGTAATTCGTAATCAAAATTCAACTGCTTATTTTGATTCCCATTATGGATTTGATAAACATGCTTAAGGGTACTTCAAAACTTTTTCAATGTTTCATAGTTTGATGCCACTAGTTTTACTTAGCACCTTTCGCATTACCCTATATCGAAGATAAAGAAAAATTAAATAGAGGTATGACATGATGCCGTGTCGTGTTTAGTTTTAGGGGTCATGTCACCTTTATTTGTCGCCAACGCCATGCTGAGTGAGTGAGACTAGTCCTTCAAATTCTTTCTTTTCTCAAAAAAGCTTAAATAACCCCTCTGATAGGGTAGTTGTTTCTTCTTTAATCATACAACATACCTTTCATTATAGTTAAAATCTCATCATAATTAGTATTACGTGATTCTGTTGGATATACAACTACTCTATCAAATTTGCAATTATAGTACAAATGGGTGGTGACAATTCCACTCCATTACTCCATTGAAATCTGCATAATTACCTACCAATTACTTTCATTATTTCGCCAAAGGGACTGTGAATAGGGTGGGGAAAAAGAAAAAAGAAAAAAGAACAAAGAAATTATATTTGAAAAGACATATGAAGCTTCTCCATGTAGAAACTATGTATCTTTTGATTATAATGTACAGAATATAACATTAAAATTATATCATATCAGTAATTAGAGCTCCTGTGAAGCTGTTGATTGTCTACTGCTCAAGCACACCCCAAAGAAAAAAATAGAGAAGAAGAAGATAAAATCAAACAGTCTTTCTCCTAGTATACATCTATAGGAGATCTCAGAAACCAAACCTGAACAAACTAATTAAAAACATTGTCATATCAAAACAGCCCAAAAATATTAATTACCCTTTGACAATTCCATGTACATTGTTCACCAAATCTTCATGTTTGTTGTGAAGAAAATTAAAGAAAGAAAAAATTAATCAAGATGACAAAGAAAATCCCAGGTGATCACCTTTTTGTCAAAAATTAAACTGGTGTGGCAATATTGATCAGGGTGATCTCCAACTTCTTAAGCCGATATCATTGTGCTTCCTTGAGGGTCCAGAAGCCGGAATAGGTATCCTTCTTGGCAAGAACCCCGAAAAGTGGCCTGAATGCTGGTACTTCGGCTTGAGCTTGAAGACTTGGGCGGTTCTTGAGGCGTGGCAGTTGCCAAGATTAGTGAAGATGAACGTCAAGAAGAGGCATACAAGTAGAATTACAGGTCGTCTTCTTGAAGCCATGCTAGCTTGCTGGAAATGAGACTAGCTAGAATGGAGAGAGATCAGATATTAGTGATATTAAAGAGGGTTTGGTGAATATGGGGTACTACTTTGGTTTTGAGGGTATTGATGAGCAAAAGGTGGTGAGAGCAGGGAACATGGGCAATTCAATGCACAATTGTGTGTGTGTGTGTGTTTGTTCTGAGAAATGTGGTGGGGGAGAGAGAGAGAGAGAGAGGACTTTAAAAAACAATCAGATGCTTCTACAAGTAAAAGCAATGTTGGAAGCCAATAGAAGAAAGTTGAAAAGTTTTGAGCAGAGAAAAAGCTTTTCAATTTCAAATCGACTTCTGGCTTTAGGGTTGGAGGTGATTATTAAAAGGGTTAGAAAAAGAAGTGGACCATGAAAAAAAGAAATGAAATAGAGTTATATAGCGCTTGCTTGCTGCTATCTCAAATTGTCAAATCAAATGCCAAGAAAACCTTATAAATTCCCTTTAAAAAAAGGGATATTAAGCAGAAGTTGAGTTGAGTCGAGGCAAGAAAGAAAGAGAAAGAAAGAAAGAAAAAGAAAAAGAAAGTAAAGGGAAAAAAAAAGGAGGGGGAAGGAGAGGGTTAGGGATTATGTTATGTCGTCCTTTTGAAATGGTTAGGTGATTGTTTGGTCCTACCGACCAAGCAACTGGTACTGTTGTTTTAGTCTTTAGACCCCCAAAACAGGACCCTTTACCTCACCCACTTTTGTAGGCTTTATTTTGATGCTATCTCTCTCTCTCTCTCTCTCTCTCTCTCTCTCTCGTGGTGTACATGTTGTGTGTCAAGTACTTGGTAGCCATTCCCCTAATTAAGGAGGAGAGTGTTGGCTTGGTAGCGTATTGTATACGTCATTGTTTGCATTGTGCAGAAACAGTAGGTAAACAAATCTTGATATAAGTTGGAAAGCAGGTATGCACGGACTACTGACCTCAATGTATCTCATCACTCCCTCCCTCCCACTGTTTCAGACTGCGCGTTTTACGTTTATTCACTTTTCAGTGTACTATATGACATGGCATACATCACCATGTATTTATATATATAGGGCTTATAGCCATAGCTATTTTTGGGGGATGAGTATTGAGGGGCATGGGATTCGAGGGAAAGGGCTCCATCTCCATCTACATCGTCTCATCATTTCCACAATCCGACATTAATGCTTTTCTAATTTGCTTCCACGACTATTCTCTTGTCGGACTATTTGACTCTACACGAAATTATAAATTTGATATTTGAAGTCATATGAACTACACGTAACGTTCATGTAATTAGATTTAGAGTCCAATTATTTGTGTTTCCAGATTAGAAATATGAACAACAAATTCATACAAAAATAATCAACATAACTAATGACTTAAAGTTCATACTTTAGGTATATAGGAAGAGAACAATTCTTAGCTATGCATACATGTTTGTGGTGAAAATTAAAGCGTCCGTGCGCAATGACTAGACACATGGGCAAAAGCAAGCAAAAGCAAATGGTGCAGAACTAGAAAGAGAACAATTAGAATAATATACTGATATATTTGATGTATTAAAAGTTGAGGGAGTATTGCTTTTCTTTTTTCTTTTGACCATACATTGAGAGTTGGCTTAAGGTTCTGATATCAGTTACCCATACGTGTTACTTTATGATTACTAGTGTCTCTCAATTTGATGAAGGAAGGAAAATAAACGAGTGTTCTCTGTCCTTGACTACAAATTTTTATAGGTACCTAAATCTGATATTGGAATTATTATGATCCAAGTTTCTTAAATCTTAACATATACGGATGTCAACATATAGAAAAAAAATTATTGTGACAGTTTCTCTCCAAGTTGCTTATACTGTATCAACGTCCGAGTTGCATTTGCAGAGTGAAATAAATGCAAGTGTCAGAGTCTAATGTGGGACCCCTACTGCGTATCTGAACCCTTTTGAGGTTCAATATTGAATCCCTAGGTCCCTTAGAAAAAACTCTGTAGTTGTTGAATAGTGGCGGACCAGAAAAAGTATAGCGCACACTGTACCATCTTTGAAAATAATGTATGGGTGGAAAATGGAGAATAATGTTAGAAGGTGTCGGAGTTAACCTCCGGCCTAATAGGGTTCCGTATCTTGTTATGAATATTGAATTTAGAAGAAAGGATAGGCCTTGCTCCCAGAGCGGGCTCTAAAAAGTGGCCATGAGGAGATAAGCGGAAATACATGGGGCTTTCTATTCCTACACGCACCCCTCCTTCTCTTTTCTCCTGATTCCCCGGTGGCCTAGTCATTGGTTCCACGACCTTCCCGGGTCTCACCCAGCCTCTCCTGGACCCGTAGGCATCGGCAAGGGGTGGGTCCATGTGGGTTGTGTTCGGTTGGGCTCCTCCCCCCTCTTCCGCCTCCTTGCCTCCCCACCGCCTCTTGATCACTCGGGTTGTCTTTTGGGTAGGGTTGGGCGTCTTAAACTACTTCTTACATGGTACCTCGTCTCTTCTTCCGAATTCTAGTTCCTAACAACCACCAGGACCCTCTTCCAGCGGACGGCAAACTGCGACTCTAGAGTTCATACCCGTCTTTCCTTCTTACTTTTCTCCGCAGACCACAACACACCTGAGGCTCCCTGGGAGTCTTCGTGATTTAAGCTCACAAACCACAACTACACCACACGACCACGACAGGGGCCTTATGCCCATTCCACACTATGCGGCCCCGTCGTTTGGCCCCCTCTCGGATCGCTCTCTCTTGGGTTTCTCTCGCCACCAACACCAATACCGCGAGGCGCTACTCCCTGACGCCATCTAACCCCGACTCCCCCCTCCTGCCTGCGAAACTACACCTCGACCGCGACCCCGCATTCCGTGTTGCCCCCTCCGCCTAACCCGGGTCGACTCCCACCTTAGAGATGCACCCACTCGCCTTTGCCTCGCCCTCGCCGCGCTATCAACATTCATCTATTTCTATAGCTACGCTCGCTCTTTTGCACATTTCCGTGATTGTTCCACTTCGTTTTCCTGTCTTTGCTCGTTCCTGTCCACATCTTAGACCTTCTCCCCTGGCTCGAACTTTTCCTCTTCACCACCAATTCATCCTCTGAACCCACACTAGTATGTAGCACTCCACCACTATGAGCGTTCACCTGCGGGTGCTGCCTCCCCTTGGGCCAGCTGCTGCCCTTTGCCCGATCAGCCTGCGGGTTCTCCCAGTGGCTTATCACTACTGCAGTCCACGACCGACCACTTGGCTGAGTCACCTCTGTGCGCTCCCACGCGCGCGTTGTGTTGACCGGCTCCCGGAGTTGGTTCCATGACCCGGGAGCCGTGCGGCAAGCAAGTCCGGCGCCCGGTGGCTTTTACAGCCCCCTGCCTGTTTCGAGCGCTCGGTTATCCGAACGGGCACTGCCGACTGCAAAGCGGCTTTTTTTATCGCGTTTCGGGCCCGGGATTTAGCCTTTGTTGAGTTCGCGGGTATGTTCCTCGCGTTGGGGGCTCCGTTTGAATTCTCCGTTTTTTTGCGTTGTGCTTTTTCTGATGCCTTTTTACCTAATCCTCGCGCGGGCTCCATCCTTTCTCTTTTTGTTTTCTCCTGCCTGCTTTGCCCTTCTCTTGGTTTTTTTTTTTTTTTGTTTTTAATGACGCAAACACCACGGCGCTGCCGCACTTCTACTTAGACCCCCACACAACCATTGTCACCCACACCGCTCTGCTCTACACGTAACAATAGTTTATGCTTCGCTTGTGGGGCACATCCCCCCGTTGATACATATTGTACGAGTTGACCACCACCACACCCCCACGGTCTTCTTACGGTACTGCGCCTCCCCCTCTTCATACACCTTATGTTTCTATTTAACAAATTGGTTACTCCCTACCCTTCCCCGTTCCACTTTTCCCCTTTCCCTCCAAACTTTCAACATTATACTTATTTTCAAACCCCACGAGAGACCTGTTCACCCTCCTTTTGTACACTACCCCACTTGGCATGTTATCGGCTGTCTGGTATTCCGTCTAGTGGTTTACAACTGTCAGGTTTCTGTCTGACATCTTGTTACCTGACGCACATTCACCCGCCCCCCAGCATCTGCCGCCGCCCCCCCCTTTTTTTTGTTGTCTGTGTTGAGCCCCATGGTCCAATAATCCGCGTCCGTTCTAGTTTACTCCAACCCCATGTTCTTTTTTGGCACTATTTTTTTTTACTACTTTATTCTATCTCCGGTCACTCTTTTTTCCCAGGTTTTGGTTCTCACACCCCCCTCCTGCTTGAGTGCCCGTCTTCGAGGTTATAAGTTTCACTATCCCATAGCCCTGAGGGCTCCGTGCACTGAACACCACCATGCTTGTGTTTCCATTATTTCCTTCCCCCCTTCTAACTACCTTTTCCTGTTTCCCCTTTTTTCCCCTTCCAACCACCCCATCCCCAAATTTCACTTTAGCTATCCTCCATTACGTTCCTGGTTTTTCCCCTTTTTTCTCACCTCCTCCCACTCCCTTTTTTTTCCCTTCTTTCGTTCTACCCTCTTTCCTCCTTTTCATTTCTCTTATGCCCTGCCTCTTTCCCCTCTTCTTTTTCTCCCAACCCAATACATTCCCAGCCTTTCCACTCTACTTACCTCCTGCATACACCGCACCTTATCCACTATTTCCCTCCTCCCACTTGGCCCCCGCAGGCGAAACTTTCACCTCTGTCCAACACACCCCCCTGAAAAACCAGGACCAACTAAAGTCTACTAATAGTTACATCCATGGAACACATTTTTATAACCAAGCTTATTTCCATCTCTTACTATTTCTTTGGATCTCGTCCTGTACTTTTAACGCTATACAGCTTCCTCTCCTATTTTTAACCTCCCGACTAACCTTCTCCACACCCCTTATTCCTCCCACCAACCCACTACACTCAATTAACTCTCTTTCAATTAACCCTCCCCCTACATCTCTACCATTGCGAGTCGAATCGGCTCCCCCACACCCCCCCCACCTTCTTCGAGTCGTCCTTCTTTATCCAGTCTCTGCTTTTATTTCCTTTTTATATTTCTCTTATTATTATTTCCGCTTCGATTTCTCCCTCTATCCCTCCCCCACCTTTTTCATATTTTTTCTAACTCTTCCTTTATATTTGTGTGTTTTTTGCTTTATTTTTTGTCTTCATTCATCTCCTTTCTTACTTCTGTTTTTCTTTCTTTTTCGGTATTTTTCTTATTGTCTCGTTTGTGTGCGTTTGTTCCTATAGATGGTTTTGTATCGCTTTATGCCTGTGTCGTTTTGGGTGCTTTTGTTTGGTGTTCTGTGCTTACCTGGCAGCTCTTCACTCACTTATTCTTTACTTTTTTATACCTGTGCTAAAAATACCACTTGTCCACTGGCTTTTCACCCCACTTGGCTTCTAATTCACTGTTCCAACCAACCACTGGGTATGTTTAAATATTGCGGCAGAGACCCCGTTTTTTATGCCCTCTTTGGATACAGCAGATCTGTTTTAGGTGACGTCTACTTTACTTTTCCCCCCTAAGCTGTTTAACACTATTAGGACTATCACATCAATATGGCGAGTCCCCCCGTTGGATGTTTGCATACTAAGAGTGTATCCAAACACCCAATCATGGTTTATCTCTACTCGCACGCCATTTCCAACTTTTGGATTTAGAAGTGCTTTGGTCTCATTGATCGCTCACCACCAGCCCGTTTTATCGGCCACTCACGGGGTGAGGCAGCGGTGGCAGACGCACTTATATGCGACCTGTGTGTCACACTCACATACTCTGTCACGCCAACATTTTACAAGCGTCCAAAAGTATCACATCAAATGCACACGCCAAGAAGACGGAAAAGACAACGAGACGGTACATTGATACGCAGAGCGACTGTAACAAACACACCCACCAAGAAAAGAGAGCAGTAACTGACATAAAGAACGAACACCCAAGAGTGCGGAATTCGACAAAACAACACGTAGGCAACACAAGTAACCTTTGACATTCGAGGCACAACCCATCAAACCACGTAACCCACAATACTCCCAAGACCCATAAATAACTGCCAGGCTCACAAAAACACAAGACAATAGCGAAAGAAACAAAACTAGAAACAGAAACAAAGAACTGGCTCTCACCAAAGATGCCAGGTAGCGCCGGAAACTTAATCGGAGGACTGGAGTGGGAGTAGAGGGCTCTTATCTACGAGACCTTGGATAGTGAGCATCGTCATTAAAACGTTGGGGATTGGTATGGACTAAACTAACCAGAGTTGATGCAGCCGAGCCCATAGACCAACGGTTCGGTAAGAGAGGGCGACGGCACGCTAATTAAGAGCAGAGCGGGGCCAATGGATGAGAGTAGGACTATTGACAATTATTTAGTTTGCTGTCGTGAGGTGTCCTTGGGTTAAATTGTTGTAATTTGTTTTGTGAGATTTGTGAAGGAGTTGTGAAATATGAGAAATTGAGATAAAAAGGGGCAAGAAGATGAAAATTGGAGATTAATCAAGTCAAGAAGCCAAGTCATTCCTTTTGTTGCAAGGAATGTTGTCAAATTTCCTAGTTCAAGATGGTTCAAGTCTTACCAAGACAAACAAGGAGAAATAAAGAAGACCTTATATTAGAAGGAATCCTATTTTGATAATAATTGTAATTATACCTTAGATAGGTAGGGTTTCTAGGAGTATTATGAATAGGAAGTTTAGACCCATTACCCATCATCCATCCTCCATCCTCCATCCTCCATCATCAACCATTAAATTCCTACATATTCATACTCATAGTCGAAACACTCAGAGGAGAATACGAAGAGAGCTTGCGCAACCTTGGCATTCTACTTGGAGAATTTGGTGTCTTCCATGTCTTCCTCAACCATCATGATTCTCAATAAGTCATTCGTGAACTAATTTTTTTTAATAAGGCTACGATGTAGCCTAGCTATGAATACTCATATTCTTTGATATTGTTAATTTTTATTTATCAATACATGTTGAGTGTTTGTTGCTGTTCTTAATGCTTTCAATTAATTGGCCATTAATTGCATGATTGGAAGAATTAGGTTGAGACCGGAAGGAGATTCCTAGTAAAAATCTTCTTGTAACAAATACCATAAATTACATAGCCGACTTGGAAGATTAGGTTATGGTTTGTGTAATCTTCAATGTTTTCCACAAATCTTAATGGGTTCTTAGCTATCTAAATCCATAACTAGGATTAGAGTGGGTTGATGGTAAGGAATACAACTAATATAATTTGGAAGGAGTGGGCGATTACCTTGCACCTTTGTAGGCATACAACATGGCATGATGGCATGACATGGCATTGACATTGACGCATGGAGCCACGAGCAAAAAGGAAGCCTTAAGAATAGGAGTTTGTGGGTTTCTTAATGGGATAGTGGCATGGTGGTTTTTAGGAGGAAAGCTACCTATGCCATGGTGGCTGGGTGCATGGCAGACACATCACCTAAGCAGTTGGGGTTGTCAACTGTAATGCTTTTATAAATACCTTAGCTTTGGAAGGCTTAGGTAGATCGGAAGAGACTAGACTAGTAGTCTCTTGGGAGAGATCTCAAGGGGAGACGAAACGGGGAGAGTGTGTCTAGAGTAGACATAGAGAGGCATAAATAGGGTATGGCAGTAAGTGTTTGTGCTGACCTACCCATGCCTTGAGAGAGAAACCCGTTGAGTTGAGAATGAGTGTCTAGAGAGGCACCATGCCTTAGGAGTAGGCGGCATTGAGGCACCAAATATGTTGTGGTGACCTATTCATAATTACCTATTAATGCGATGGCTTTAATATACCTACAATATGTATATATTCAATTATATTATTATCAATACAATATCATGTATCTACAAATTTACCTATATATCTTGTATATATCCAATACGACTAGATAATTTATTTTCACAATATACCTATAAATGTGTTGGCTTTAATGTACCTACAATATACCTATAATAGGTAAATTACAAGTTATATTATTGCATAATAAAATTTGGGTATATTATTTGAATAATAAGTAAATTAATATAGGTACATTATTTTTCATAAAAGAGGTAATAGGTACGTTATCTTTTCAACATAAAATTGTATGTATGCTATTATATTTATAAAACAATAATGCAATAGATAATTAATAGCGTATAATTCATAAGTAAATAAAAAAAACATTTTTTTTATTAAATAAACTTATTAGGTATGTTAAATATGAATTTATTGTTAAATTTTAAAAAAGTTTGCAAATCAATTTCTACATCTATTTGGAGATCTTTCCAAATTCAATGTGTGTCATTAGTTACATTCCAATTAAAATTTGTTTCTATGTTTATTCCTACATTAATATACAAAATACAATAATGCTTAGTTAGGGGTTTTTAGGAATCAATGAAGTACAATAAATTCGATTTTGCGCTTGATTAGGTAACTTGCCGAGTTGGATCCTAGTCATCGGATTTTATTTAGAAAAAAACATGATTTTATTCAAACAAAAATAAAAAGATGGGTTGTAGTTGAGGAAAAATGACTTTGAAGGAGTTAAGCTAAATTTACTAATAAGTATTAGATATGTTATTAAGTTTTCCAACAAC